ACATTTTACATAAGGGACGCAGAATATGTTGACCCTTTTTGTGCCGCCAGTTTCAGCTGAGTGGAGCCATCATGACTTTGACCTTGCATTAAAGGCCAGCATATTTGTAAAGCAGTAAGCTCACAGAAATACACAACTTATGCAGATTTCTTCTCAGTTCTTTTTTTAAAATTTCAGTTTCTTTGCTGACTGGGCTTCATTTCAGACTGCACTTGAGGCATGTTGCTGCTTTCAGTTGAGTGTTGACATTATTCACCTTGACCCTTATCTTAGTCAAAAGTGGAACAGCGTAGGCTAGACTTTGCAGACATCTGAGGTTACAGGGACTATATAAACCAACCTCAGTCATTGCACGTTTGCTCCGACATCTCAGTGTGACTGTGAACATATAACCTATAAGAAATAACTCATGTAGAGGGGGGGGGGTCTTGCTCTGTTTTTATAAAGGAAGTCTTCACCACAGTGCTTTTGCACAAACTGTTCTCTTAAATCTTCTCTGGTCACACTCTTGCAAGTCAAATTTTGCAGCGCATATGCTCACACACAAAGTCTTTTCAAGCAGAAATCTATTCTGCTTCATTTTACATTTAACTTAAGTCTAAGTGATTTAACTACTAAACACATAACTTTTAAAACAAACCACAAAGCTTTCACTCTATTTCAAGGTAAAATAGGTAGTAGGGATGTTTCATATCATTGGGGCAAGAATAAAAGCTACCTTAGGCTACAGAGTGTATTCTACTATTAGGTTCCTAAATTTGATTTCATTGTGCAAAATATAATTTAAAAAAATTTCAGGAAGTCAAAATTTACAATGAAGACATATCAAAATGTAATATAAATAAAAACACAACAAACTCAAAGTGAACTCACATACAGAACAAATAAATGCTGATGAGCCTTAAGTCAGCAGCAGCAGATTTCAACTGTTGGTGCTGAGCTATTTCATATATGTGTACACTAAAACAGGTCCCATGTCTGTCTTTTGTTACCTTTCATATGATAGTAGTCAGTATGGCATATCTGTCATATCATAACTATACAAAAGATTCATGTCGTCTAGCCATTAAAACAGGAAACCTGTGCTACCGGCATGCACGATGCATGACAAAAGGTGTGAGCTGGTGGTAAACTGGCTTCGAATTGTGGTTGACATCATGGGAGGGAAATGTGTGGTCTCTATGACACAATTGCCAAGAAAGCAGCAATGTGCACTTATGTGGTAATCAATTGTATACCTATTTCTAACCAGATGCTAAAGAACTTTATTAACAATATGAATGTCACGGTTCCATGACGCTGGTTACTACAAATCCCAGATGTGAAAGCGCTGGTCCGCACCGGTGGAGAAGATCTGAGAATTGTCAGGGTTTAAGGCCAAGTGAAGGACTCGATCAGAGTGACCTGGTTAAAAAAAGAAAAAGGAAAAAAAATTATTATTTAAAAGAACTGAAAATCAGTTCTTGTTGTTGCTATAAGTAGTAAGAAAATGCCACATTAACAGGGAATTAATATTGAATTGTACTACCTTGATCATAATGCCTTTTTACATTTTTATGTTTTTTGATGGAATCGCACATCAAAAACCAGGATTAGAAAGAAAAGTTGACAGACATCTTGGATTCAGGAGATAATGAAATAAAAGCAACGTGAAGTTAAATGGAAAAAATAGATAATACCAAAAACTAAACACTATAAGCACTCTGTTCCAAACCTCACTTCGCACATATTTGTCTGTGATTCAAACAAGCATCTCATTCAGTAACAACTTCTCCTTGTTTGCCAGTACAACTGAGTCAATCAGAGCCTTATTGGCAAAAATGAGAAGGGGGACTTTATGACTGTGGTTAACCAAGAAAATGGTGACTAAAAATCTGCCTACAGAATAACGGCCTGCATTGGTGCAACTCAATGGGAGCTACACTATTTTGTTTTTGTTTGTTTTTTTCCATTATGAAAACAAGTCAATTTCCCTATCTTATCATAACCAGTATTCCTATGGGAATAGGACTTTACCACAAGGGTTGATATCAGTAATTATACTTCTGAAAAATAGCGCAGAATGACCGTCAAGTTTTCATTTAAAATATAAAAGTACAAAAAAACTTAAATTAAAAAAAGTAAATTTTGAAAATTACTTGATCATTTTTTTATTAAGTAAAATTATTCAATATTACATATTAGTGGGTTTTCAGTAAAAGTGTCTTTTGCATTCAGTGCTTGGTTTGAGCCCCCCTGACCAGAAAAAACAGGAATTTAGCATTTCTGTTAGCGGTTTATTTCTCATTTTTTCCCCCCTTAAGCCGTAAGGTTTTCTAACACCAGCTCACAATACTACAGGACAGTGAGACAGCTCATATTAAAACTAGCAACCTTAGTTTCATATTCACTAGAGGGAAGCCCAGAACACGAATCACTCAGCACACGATGGCCATTAAAGACATTAGTGGTAGGTGACAGAGCTGCTGCACTGACAACAAGTGCTTCTGTGAGAATATTACTCACTGTGTTCTTGACGCAACAACATTTGTTCCTATGAGTGTGTTGTCAATGTGTTGAGACTAAGTTGAGATAGTATCAGACATCAGTGCTGATACAATTTAACGTTGCATTAAACAGAATTATTTACTTTATTAATAAAAAGGTTATAGTAATGTAGAACAGCCTTGTGTGTTTTTTGGTTTTCTAACCTGTGAACTGGTAAATGGGGCTGAGAGAGTGAAACTCCCACACCCAAGATGTGACTTTGTGATGAGGTAGGCCATGACCTGTAACCAGATATCTCTTCTTTTCAGCCCATTGTAGAGAACAGATCTGCAAATGAGGATAAATAGTAATAGTTTATCCAGCATTTTTAAATACAGCAAAACAAAAATATCCACAATACTGTAATTCTCAAGCACCTGTGAATTTGTTTGCACAGAAGTAACACAAGATGCTGATTGTGTGTCCCAGATTCTCAGCTCACCATCTTTCCATCCCCCTCCTGTAGCAATAATGTTCCCCTGCCATGGGCACCACCTCATTGCCTTACAAAATAACACACACAAAGGTGGATACATTAACAGCATTTTTAAATCTCTGTTTACTAACCCAAAATCCTTACACATTAAAACCATTAGCCTCTTATTCACATTTAACTGCTTTGACGTCTGCTCAAACTCTGTAACTCTGGCTGTGTCAGCCTTTAAAAATGCCAAACAGTTGACTTTTAGCCTCCAAATCCAAGTACACAGACCTTCACAGCACTGGGCTGCTTCACTGTCATTATTGGCTGACTTGACATTTTTTTTCCCATGATGTCATCATCCCAGATATGGAGAAGGCCTTCTGTGGAGCCGCTGGCCAGCCATTTGCCTCCTGGTGACCACTGCAGACTGCAGACCCCCTCCCTCTGGGTGGTTGCACCTACCAGAGGTGTGAAAGCCCGTGGGTCAAGGTGACAGATATGTCCAAGAACAGATCCACTGTCAGAAAAAACACTGCTTTTATGGACACTTTTATTGATTAAGTGTCTCCTACCCTGTCCGTGACTAATTCATCTACATTTCTTCTATTAAAGAGATAAAGCTGTATGCCTTTAGCTCTTATCCTAAGCCTATCTATCCTATTTATTCATTCATTTATTTAGCATAATTTCCAAATTGGTCAATCTTTTCCATTTCATTATTAAGCAGCACCTTCTTTAAATACCAGAACAAACCAAATGGGTACCTGCTAAGTAACTGCTGTTTCCAAGAAAGCGCTCTCACCACAGCCAGGTGTGACAGCAGAAACCTCATGTTCTGCTTGTGTTCGACATCCCACAACTAAAGAGTCAAAGAGAGACAAAGACACCACAAACAGTCATCCTGCTGATTCAGTAAATATGACACTTCCCTTCTCACAGAGCCCCCCCATACCACATTTGGTTTGAATAAGTTTCCAACCTCTATGAGCTCATTTACCTGTATCTCCCCTCGTCTAGTCGCGATACTGAGGGCTCTTCCATCTGTGCTCCAGCACAGAGACGAGACTGACTGACGATATCGGCATCCTGATTGTGGACTCAGGTCCAGATGTCCAACCAGACCACGAGTTTCTGAATTCCAAATGTAAACTGAAGAGCCGAGTCCTAATGCAACCATGCCACTACAGCTGCAGTCGAGAAGGTTAGTGTCTGAAATGACAAAGTTGCAAAAACAAAGGACTACAGAGGACTATATCGTAGGCATAAATTATTGATGAACAGGATGAGCCTTAATTATAAACTTTTTTTTTTTTGTTAAATCTGTTATATCCACCAAAGTGTTTTCAGTAAGTATTTTTCAGAAAAAAAAACAAGTAGCAGATGTTCCAGGTTGTATTTTTGTTGCCCATATGGCTATGCTATTTAAAATAATGAAATTTCACCAGCACACCCCAACACAACCACCATCATTCGTCAAACATGATGGAAATGTTATAGCACGTAGATGTACAACTTCTTAATGGCCCAATACTGATAGAAGAAGAAGTGTCACCTGATCCTAATCCAGAACAGCATGCTTATCAGTTTTAAATGCAAATAAGCCCACAAATAAGCACCAACCAACAGTGGTGAAGTAAAGGCCCAGCAGAGCATCTCAAGGGAGGAAGCACCACCTTTAATCATGTCCATGCATTCTAGACTTCAGGCAGAATTAATGCAATGCAAAGGATTATTAGTTTGTTCAATTACTTCTGACCCTTTAAAAATTAGATTATTTATAACAGTGACTATAATTCCTAAACAGCTAATGCAAAGCATTATTAACCCCAATGAATTTAAGCTGAAAACTACATTTCAGCCACATTTGGATTGTTTTACAGTCTACTGTGGTGTCTGTGAAGGTTCTCAGTCACCCAGGTCATTGTAGTCTAAGGTGCTTGGAAAGAAACATCTACTGTGGTGGTGTACAGAAGCAAAAAAACAGTATTTGTAAAAGTCATTTAGGGCTTCATTTTCTCTTACAGTAATCATTCAGCAGTGATGGTGCACCCAACTTAACCACTGACTTCCCGTGCAGGCTCAGAGTGGCTTTGCTCAGAGTGGCAAATGGCTGAAGATCATATTTTCTTTCATCATAACCTTCAATGATAAAATATAATTTAAAAGATATTGTTACAAAACATACATTGTACATCTGCTGTTAATCCATTAATTTTCAAACACTTTCTTTGTTGTGTCGTGTTTTTGACATGAATCAATAGTTGCAGCAAGCATCCACATTGATGTGCATTAAGCACTCGTTGCATTAAACTAGAACGTGTTGAAACTAGTGATGACAGCTAAAGTACCTAAATGTGAATAAAGTGTCAAGAGAATTTAACACGTGATTTCTTTCAAACTTTTCTTCCTTATTGCTATTCCAGATGTCATCTTTGTTGTCTTTGTACGCTTCCAAATTTCTCCAGACTTCAAAAACTGGTGTGCAGTCTGATAAAGTAAACCTATAATTACATCATCCAGCATTCAAAAAACAAAGCGAAAAAAAAAACTGCAGCGTGATCAAAGTATGTATTTGGGTTCCCCAGTATGACATCATGTAGTATCAGTCCAGAGATCATTCACACAATTATTCATACACAGCAAAATCTCCAGTGTTAAATTAACACTGGAGATTTTGCTGTGTAGAAACATGATCTACCTGAGCGATTGAGATTTTCAGGTTCTTGAACTGCAGGTCTCCATACCCATCGCTGTAAAACAAAAACAAAAAAGGGAAAAGAATTATTACTATTCAGGTTTCAAAAATATCTAAAATTAGCATATCATTGAAAGTTAGCATTAGCAATATATGCAGATTTACTTTTTTGTATGCTTTATACATCGATCTGTTGCAGGGCCATAACACAAGACAAGAAAAAGTATTCACAGTTAAAATCAATTCAGAATAACCAATCACCCACTGCATGTCTTTGGACTTCACACAGAAAGGCCCCAGACTCTACATAAACCCAGGACCTTCATCCTGTGAGGCAGATGAGCTAGCCACCACACCACCATCTCTGATAGGATAATAACATTTTATTATTCTTATATCAAACTGATTGTGTTCTTTTATTTTATTTCACTTCGAGCAACTTTTGGAAACCACACACATACAAAACTTTCTGACTTTTTTCACTTTTAAATGAAAACTTCTATGTTCGTGTATGAGACGATGACTTGCAGAAGTCAGTTTAGCATCCCCCTCAAACTATTGCATCACAACCACACACAGACACAAACGAGGAAGTGCAGCTTCCTTAAACAAACCTCTTGTGGGGCATTTTCTGCAGCAGGCCGTGTCTTTGCAGCGATCGTGCACTCTGTGTTCACCAACTTAACAGACTCAGAGTGAGACGAGCCTCCCACCAGTGCTGCCTCTGGTGAAATCAAATGACATCATAGAAAACGTCCAACAGCTCTCAGGTAAAAATGTACTGTGTCAGTATGATGATACACCTGGTGAAGATTAAAAAGAATGAATGTTGTTTCTAGATATGGGCCTAGGGGAGTGCATGCCCGTGCATTTTAAAATCAGCAGTGTCATATAAGAACAGTGTTACCCAGCTGAATCATAAATATGCTGTTCAAGTGCAACACCAACAGCTTGGGTACAGTCCCCAGTGGTGACTAGGGTCTTCATGTGGCAGGATAAAGTTGGTTGGAGTTTTTTAAACTAAAATATTTATCCAAATTACACAAACATTGTTGCATTTTTATGACATACACATTATGCTTTAAATCCTGAATCAGTCGTTTTCCCCCTCTTCTAAAAATCAGTCGTTTAAAACCTGACTTCGGGTAATTTTTGAGTTTAATCACACTTTTAATGACCTAACTTATGTGAATATGCCTGGCATCAGTATTGCATTATTATTATTACTGAACTTCTGTGTGTTGTTTAATACCTTGGATTTTTCCTGGTAGGACTCCCTGTCCCGGTTCATGCTTTCTCGGTGGAGAATCGAGCTCCAGCCTCTGACAGATGGTATCAAACTCGAAGCTTGGCTCACACTGCCGCCCAGGGGCCAGTGGGGTACTTGCAACAGGGCTTTCTCTGCAGCGCCTCTGGATGATCCGCCTCCTGAAGCATTTGTATGTGACTTCATGGGCCTCGTATTGTCCCTGAGCAGACAAATAACAATTGTTTTTTTTAATACCATCTCAAAATAAGGTTATTCAAAATGTACTAAACAGTAACTTTATATCATTAGAAACTAATCTATTAAGAGCCTAACTTCCTCTTAAGATTTTTTGAAACCTTTCATAGCAGATGAAGATTCTGTAGTTATTTAAATGCTTTACAGTGATTACTGAGGAAACCACTGGAAAGTTTGTATGGTTAAGTGTTTGCTGAGGTTCCTCTAGTGCTAATAATCTGCACTGAGCATTCAGGCATGTTTATTATTGTTATGATTATGATAATAATAATAATAATAATAATAATAATAATAATAATAATAATAATAATAATAATAATAATAATAATAATAATAATAATAATAATAAGTTCCCGATGTCTGTTTTTAATGTTTTCCAACATTAAAAACAAGTGATATAGACATCAGTCTCAATATTAATTCCGTCTTATGCTTTTTATATTGAACACACCTAACAAAACTAAAACATAAGGCATTGTTTGTTTTGTTTTGTTTTGTTTTGTTTTGTTTTGTTTTGTTTTGTTTTGTTTTGTTTTGTTTTGTTTTGTTTTGTTTTGGGGGTTTTTTAAAAATATTTTCAGCTGACCCTGTAGTCGGCCTATATAGGATTCTGTAGTGTAGCTGAAAGTCGAGTATTTACATGTAAAGTTCACTTATTATTAGTTTTATTTTGCTGCTGAGTTTCCGGTATAGTCGCTTTCACCGTTTCTCCGTCCAGCTTAACGCGACTATTTCCTCTGATCCGCCCCAGAACTTCTGGAAGGAGAGCCCCAGTTCAAGCTACGGTTTGCGCTTTCCCCTCCAAGATGGAGGCTTTGGGAGGTTATCCTACCAGGTCCTCCAACCCAAAAGCGAAAAAGTTAACTGTGCTGTTGAGCATGACGGTGGGTGTGGGGTGTTTATTTCTTCTGCAGACCCAGCTGGTGAAACCCAGAAAACCGAAGGATTTTTATTCTTTCGAGGTGAAGGACGCGAAGGGCAGGACGGTTTCTCTGGAGAAGTACCGAGGAAAAGTATGTCCACATCATCAGCCGTCGTTTCAGACTGAGAATAAATCTGTTTAACTGTTTAACTTTCCCCGTGTCAGTTTGGACTTGATTTATTTGCAGAGTGCGTATTTTTAAGAGCTTTTTAAAATAACTGTGCACTGCTCCTAATCCCCTCCTTTACAGGCGTCCTTAGTTGTAAACGTGGCGAGTTACTGCCAGCAGACGGAGGCGAACTACAAGTCTCTACAGGAGCTCCACCGGGAGCTGGGCACCTCTCACTTCAACGTCCTGGCCTTTCCCTGCGGACAGTTCGGGGATACGGAGACCGGAACCAGCCGGGACATCGAGGCTTTCGCCAAGTCAGCCTACGGCGTTACCTTTCCTTTCTTCAGCAAGATCAAAATAATGGGATCAGAGGCTGACCCTGCTTTCAAATTCCTCACAGGTTGGGAGAAAGACTTTTAACGAATATCATGACTGTGGGATCACTGAGTGAGATCACAGAAACGCTGATTACATATTTATACCTGCTCCAAGTGCAGGATGTATTTAATGATGGAAGGAAGTCAAATTTGGAGCTGTCACCAAACCTCAAATACTTAACAATTGGTCTCACCTGTATTCCAGGTACAAGTGTTGATAGTCTAAAACCAAACTAGATTAGGCAAAGCCTACTTTTACTTCATCTGAGAGGAAAATAATCTGTTACTGTTGTAAAATGTGGAGCTGAACGTAAAGTTTTGTATTTTTCAATCACCCCAGGGTAATTTAATGAGTTTTTATGAACATGATGCACCTGAAAGAAGACCTGCAGAACAAGTCTATGAACTCCAGAGGTAACTGGAATATAAAGTATGGTTCTGATCTATTCTGTGATTACAAGACTAGATGGTATAAAATTTTATCAATTCAGTGTCATATCTGCTAAGTAGCAACTTCATTTATGTTTGTAAAGCAGCAGAACTGACATTCTGTTCCATGCATTAGAATCTGTTTTTATTAATTAGCTGTATTTTTACAGTTACAGTTAATATTATTAATATACAGTAACACAACAGTCGTGGTGAGCCATAATAATTAGCAGTAGCCAAGGGGAATTTATCATTTGAATTAATGCTATTACAGCATATGAACATAAGTATGCACATTTGAGTTTTTTAGTATTAGGTTTTCACTTGATTTTCAGTTACAACACATACATTTTTCACTGCACTATCAAATTATATAATATTGAAATGATACTATAGGCTTGTGTAGGTATTTTCTTTTATTCTTATTTTATTTATTTAATATAATTTTTTATGCATGTATTATTTTGATTTGATAGTGTCCACTTCTGTTAGGAAGTAGCTAAAAGGAGTTATTGGGGTTCTTTTTTTCTGTTGTTGTGGTACTCTGCTATTAAGTTATTAAGTTAAGGCTTTTGGTATTTTAGCATCTTATTTTAGCATCCTGTAGTCTACCTAACTGTCAGTGTTTTTAAGCATATTTTAGACCCTGATGTGTCTGTCTCTGTTTTATCCTGGTTTTACCTTTGAGGAACATTTTTTGTCTTCAGTGTGTAATAGTTTGTTTCACTATATGGAAACTGAATTACTTGTTGCTGCCCATCTTGGGCAAACAACTTTAAAGATTGCTTAAAAATAAGATAAATTAAAAAGAAAGAAAGAAAGAAAGAAATGTAGCATTAACGACTGTTCTGCGACATCTTGTTTGTTTTTCAGATTCTGTGAAGAAAATTCCAAAGTGGAACTTCTGGAAGTTTCTGGTGAACCCAGAAGGGAAGGTGGTTCGATTCTGGCGAACAGACGAGCCCATGGAAAGCATCAGAGAAGAGGTCACAGCGATGGTGCGGGAAATCATCCTAAAGAAACGAGTGGAGCTATGATGGCCCCTAGTGATCGGTACTGGACATAGCACTGCTTTATGTCTGTGTTTCCTGAGCTGTGGAAGCCAGGAAGGACTGAACTGTTGACAGTGAGTGTTGCTTGGAGAGGGTTGTCATTCCAGAAAGATGCAAGATGAAAATATCAGGCAATCACCGTGATGCAATGCAAGTCAGAGTGTGTGTGCGTGTGTGTAAATGAGTGTATGTGGGGGTGTTTATCCTGTGGTCAGTGATGAGCATTTCTTAAAATGACCACTGCTGCAGCTGCAGTGGTTATTTAGCTTTTCAGTTGTTGGCATTTTGAAATGTTCAGCTTTCCTTCTTTTCATCTCTCCAGTGTTTACATTAAAATCTTTTTTAAGAGGAAGCAAATTAATTGAGCCTGATTTGACTGATTTGAGCCCAGCAAACTGTGCAGCATCTATCAAACAATAAAAAGCTCTCATAAGTATTTGTTTTAACTAATGACTTTAAGATTTTTCATTTAGATGTCCTGTGTTGTGGGTATCGAGTGTCTTTCTTAACTGAATAATTAAATCACATTACAAATTACCTGCTAATGTTAATGCATTGATATTAAGGCCATCTCCTTAAATATGGTGCTGTAGTTGATTTTTCTGAATATTTATGGCTATGAAAAAATAATATAAAATAGACAATAGAATCAATGAATCGCATCTTAGTACTGATAGCAGTGAAGGGTGACTACAGACATCACTGTTGGTGTGGATTAAATGGACAGTTGGAGGGCAGCAGCAGGTGAGCTGGCACAGGAAGAAACTACCAGCTAACAAGACACTGCCTTCCAGCCACCCACAATTCAACTTCACCTTCTGTCCTTATAATAAAAAAAATTATATTTTCTTTGCAGAGTTTGCAAACATTTAAAAGTCATATTGAATGGCTTTTGAGCCATTAGTGTGACCCACAGTGAAATGTAACTGTTAAAGTAGCAGAGCAGTGTGAGCTGGCTGAAGAAACGTCAGCTAACATTACACTGCCACCCAACCAGTCACAACACATCTGTCCATGTAAATGCAAATGCGTGGATTTGACTGCGCTGTACCGACGTCCAGCTGCTCATTTATCAGTATGCAAAATGTAGAATTGTCTCCCAGCTTTACTCTCGGCTGACTTCTTATTATATACTATAATATAATAAGAAGCGGGTTACGTGGCAGTGTCGGCAAACATGTTTCAGGTGAGTTGACAGTAGCAGTGAGGAGTGCAGCTGACAGCTGTCAGTCAAATAGCACAGCCAGCAGCAGTACACTGCCGCACTGACACTGCAAGATCAGCAGAAAGAGGAAGGAGGCACCCAACAAATGAAGCGGGAACATTTCTGATTATTTTAATGCCAGTTTCACTTTAGTTCCCCCTCTTACCTTGAAGGGAAAGTGCCGCTTTCCTGTAAAATCTCGCAACATCCTCCTCCTGATCATAAAAACAAAAACACCACAAGCTCAGCTCATCATCACGTGAAACTAGTTTCTAACATCTTAGTCTGTGCTTTCAAAGAGTTATTCACCAAGGTGTGGACTATTTCAAGTATGCTGCTATTAATATAAGTGACTGTGTGTTTTGGGTTTTTGTTTGTTTTTTCTACACCACTATACGTAGCACATGCTGTGGTTAGAAGAACCCAAATAGGAAGAGTCCCTGTGTTTAGTGTTTGAGTTGCCTGGTAGCAGCAACAGCAACAGCAACCGATCCTAAGTAACATATAACATGTCTTGACTGCTCTACTGAGGCTATTTTAATTGCCCGCAACTATGTTATAACTTACTTACCCATCTGCGTGAATCTTCACTCCAGCGTTTCAGGCGCATCTTCCATTTCCTTCATTTAAGCATGCCCCAGTCCCCACTATCTCAGTCCTCCCTATCTCAGCCCAAGTGAGGACACTGACCGGTCATGCCTGGTGCACCTGTTGTCTCCTCTCCTATATACTCTCACTGGGCGGACGCCGGAGCGGGAAGCAAAGTCCTCTGCTGTGCTATTGGCAGTTAGGTCCATTTCCCCCCTGTTTTTAATTAAGCGGCCTATAGACTCGCTCCTATTCAGGGATTCCCTTCGCGTCCTGGTTTCTAATGGAAACAAACAGACAAAGAAAGAAAAAGAAAAGAACAACGCGGTAATGTTATAAAGGTGGAGGTGGCTGCGTGTTATCAGTTGATGTCCTAACTTAGACAAGGACAAACTACTTCACCTTTATTTCTTTAGGGTGGTGTCAGTTTGCACACTTAATCACATGGTTTACAGATGCAGGCTTTTATTCAGCTTGTTATGTCGCTGAAGAAAGCATAATTTTAAATATAAAGGCTAATGATGATTATCGGCTATAGTTACATTAGGAAACAGGTAGGATCGTGCAGTTTGGCACCTTTAAAGCACACGAAAATGTATTGTAAGTAAATCATAAATTACAAATCCTGAAAACATGCCAAAACGAGAACTGAGACCCTATCGAAATTCAATTATTATTATTTATATATTTATTTATTGCTAAATTGTAGGCCTAATAAGTTGTTTTAGATGTTTGGAAGTGAATTCAAACACCAGCAAATTTTGACAACATATACTAATAAACACTCCGCAAACTGCAGATTTTACTGATTGGATTTAATGCGTTGTCATAAACTTGTAACAGCTCCTCTGGTGGGCAATCATTGGCCGTGTTTTGCGGGTAAAGGCCCTGTATCCGCGGGCCACACCGTTTAATGAGGAGCTGCTCTGGCGCTAAGTGGGCCGAACGGCGCGAGAGCACGCACGTTCTTGCCACCTGCCACTTCCATATGCGCTCGCACCTCGAGTGCGAGCCCGGGACAGTGCGCCAGATGCTCCATCGGGCTGTCATAGAGTCCAAATGATAGACATAAAAGGTTAAGCTCTCAAGATAACCCACAGTAACCTTTAATTTATCATCACGTCCAACAGAAACAACAACAACAACAACAACAACAACAAACGGCTCAGTGTTTGTTATTTTTACTTTTAACCTGGAAAATTCACAAATCTGTGGCAGAGCAAACAAAATTACCACATAGCACTATAATCTAAATCCATCCATTTCTCATTCATAAAATAAAAATGGTTAAACTAGTTTGGTTTTGTTTTTTTCATCAGTATAAAATGTATCAAATTTAAACAGCCGGCATTTTCATGTAATATTTTATTTAGCCAGTTCATTTAAGTTTTTTAAATGAGTTAAATGTGAATTAGCTTTCATTTGCCCAGAACCTTACACGTCTGTATCCCACCACAGGAACAATACGTATTTTTCCCGCTGGACTCCGTCGGGCTTGCAGCCTCTCTCCAGGTTTGAGTTTAGTCACCTTAGAAACGCATTGTGTCTGTATTTTCCTTTCTCCTCCCGCATTGTTCCCCGCAGTTTGGCGGTAGCTTAACAGGTCAAAAGTGTCACAGCCAGCTTATACAATGCTTTGCCCTGTGCCATGCTCTCACCAGCGGTGCTGGTCAGATACAAAAGCATTTGTTTGCTGTAAAAGTGGCTCAAGGCCCGGCTGGATGTCGAGCTCAGCACACGTGCAGATGTTTTCTATAATAAAGTGGCTGAAATTTGACATTAAGCATCAGATTGTGGCCAAGGTTGGCCAGAATGTAACAAGGGAAGTAGGATGGTTTAACTAGATAATTATTATTGGGCTATCTGCATCTATTTAGAAGCAGCTGGACAGGTCAGAGGTAAGAATCTGCCACACCTCACTCTCCTCATCATTAAGTTTCTTCTTGAAAGTTAAGCACCACATTTCTTTTGCAATGACTAAATTGATTTAAAAAGTTTCTCTGTAATGCAAAGCCAGTTTAAAGCTGGATTTAAAAAAAAAACATCAGTCAAGTGGTCTTTAAGTATAAATTTACTATGAGTTATTTATCGGTTAAATGCACCTCAACTTCCCTTGGTGGTGTAACTTTCCATGGTCTTTAAAAAAATAGTCAGGCCTGTGTTAATCAGTTCTCCATCTCGCTATCAGGTTCTTCTTATCTGCACTCGCTGTGTTAAATGCGGTGTTCATGACAGCAGGAGTGTCAGTACTGTAAACTGTCCCCAGTCAAGGGTCTGCACTGTTGCCTTCACTGCTGTAAAACAAACAGGCCCTGGTTGTGGAAGTTTAGACAGGTGCCTGACCTGAGATTGTCCAAATGTCTTGTGTACCAGCCAGGTTCTTACAGCTAAAGATTTCAACAGTGAGGTGGAAGAAAGATTTTCAAAGGTCAGAAGGTAACATCCTCTTTAGATAAGTTAATCTCTTCTTCTTGGTTTAATTTCCTTTTTGTTTTGTTTTTGCCTGGTTTATGGTGGTTTGGGTTTGTTTTTTGTGTGTTAAATCCGATTTTCTGTTTGTTTGCTTTTTTAGATAGATGACACAGCTAAAGTCTTTCCCTCTGGGTATACTGTTTATACAACTATTGTGTTAGCAGTCAGGTTCACAAGAGTGATAAGTCAGGAAATACAGCCCCCAAAAAAGAGAGAATCTGTTTACATTTCCAAAAAGGATATAAACAAGGATGTTGGCTGCACTACATCAATGCTCTGTCCACTCTTTCAGGCCACACAGTCACTCAGACAGAGACAAAGCCCCTGCTTCTTAAAGCAGGTCATAGGATTACATTTGTTTCACTGCTCAAACAAGGAAAGTTCACAGTTTATTTCCATTTGCCTAATTATCACCTAAGCTCCCTTATCATCTTAAAAAAAAAAAAAACTTGAGTCAGCTACATGAAAATGTACACATTGTTTTACACTTTTAAAAACATTTTTATTTCCAAATATGTAAAATCACTGGCATTTTCCAGGACAACAAATATATAGCGAGATGCAAACATAAACAAATATTAAACTATGTAAACTAAAACGCAATGTAAACAACAGCTTGGGCAGTTTAATTTCCTTTGTTAAGCACCTCTTCTCTGAATGATTAGCTTTCAAGCTACCTGAGGAAGACATCCCTGAATCACTTACAGATATCACTATAGATTATAAGTTAAGCATTAACAGTTGCAGCCCACACATACACTTCTGTCCACCCAACAGAATTAGGGCATCTGCATATGACTAATCAGAGCCACATAACAACTCCAGCTTTATTTGCTAATCTCTCATTTCAGCTTTGTTTGGGAACCCAGCGAAAGCGGTATCCTCCTTGCTGAGTCCTTGAGGTAAAGGCATGTCCGTGAGGAAAGACCTGAGTTCTTATAGTGCTGTGTTCTCTGACAGAGGTCCTAAAAGATGAGACACTCTCTCCAGCTTCTGCTGCATCCACAGTCATGTTGCTGTCTTTAGCTATGGATGTCTGCAGGCCTGAGAATGCACCATACATGGATATTGTCTTTGATTCCTGTTGCAGCCTTGTTTCTGTAGAGCTGCTGTGAAGTACAGCATTGCAGCGTGTGCTAATATCCCTCAACATGTCCTCCACTGAGTCAGAGGATTCAGTTTCATATCCTTCATCCAGTCGCTGGCGCTTACAAGGACTCAGTGAGGTTTTGTCACCACCATAAGGCAATACTGGTTCTTTTACATTTGAGTCTCTGACTGTCATCAATTTCTGAAAGAAAATGATCCAAATTAAAGACTAAAAAGTTTAAAGATTAAAAAGTTTGAAACACAATTTATGACAATACAACCAAGAGGTTACATCATATACATGATAAATACTGATTTGACTTCTCACAGTTCTGAACTTACTTCAAGCACAGAGGCTAGGTGCTTTGCTCGATTAGCCAGCTGCCTGAGGTGAACGTTTCTTTCTTCAAGACAATCAATCTCGTCTTGTTGACTTTGGAGGGACTCATGGAGCTGCAAGCACACAAAGCAAAATATTTTCTGTAATGTGTTCATCTTTAATAATTATTTTATTTTTTAATGTTGGCATAACTAAGTTTTTGTTTAGATGTGGACAAACAGGTATTTCAAATGTACCTGTAATTTACCTATACGTGTAGGTTTTCCACAAAATCTCCATTGTATACCTTTTACACCAAACGGGGTTCTGATCAGGATAAGGTCTTGGATGTTATAGCAGGTAAATAGGTTTATATAACTAAATAATTAATATAATTATAATTTTTAACAATTATAATTTCACAATTTAGATCCATTATAGTCCAAATTACATCAAACTTTGTATCACCATTTACATCATTTACATTGTGCAGTAATGCTCCATAAGACCTTACCTGTTTGTTGACTGCTATGCTATGTCCCAGTGCCTTTCCATGACACTCTGCTATCCCTTTCCAGGAATCTCCATCCTGGGCAGGTGGGTTGCCTGTTTCTGCAGATGAGTTAACCAGACTGTCTTCTGGTGAAAGGTTGTGCTGAGGGGTGAGGGGAGGTATAACATATCCTTGATAAGGTACCAGCTCAGCTGAAGACAAACTGCTCTCCAGGGTTGTAGGCGAAGCTGACAGAGAAGACACAAACCCAAGGACTTAGCCAACGTGATTTTGGAGGTGCACGATTTTAACTGTATTCATGTCAATATAAAAGTAACAATAGCGATGAGCAGCACCCCAGCGGTGTGGAAGGTTTAGTTTTCTCACCTGCCATGAAATCCAGCCCATATTCTCCAAAATCCTGGTCATTTGCATCCAATTCCTGTGTGGAAATAAAAATGACGATCAGCATTTATCAGTATTTCATATAAACAATTCGATTTAAAATAACGAAAAAGAAAAACGAAAAGGTGCATAGCAGTTTTACCTGGAAATCCCACCAGGAAAAATCAGGGCAATACGATGTTAAAGCAGAAAATGTATTAGTTGACATTTCAGTCAATATGTTTTCGTGTTGTCGCGTTATGAGCTCACGCTTGTCTGTGTCAGCTCGTGGAAAAAGACTGGACCATTTTCTAGCGTGTGTGTCATGAGTTAAGTACAATGACATTCGTGTAGGATTCCAGCACATCGTGTCAAACATTAACAGAGTGATCCAGACCTGCAGCTCTGCTCACCATCCTACATCTCCATCCGTCGGAAAGGGGTTGATTTACATGGCTACGTTTAAGCTATGCCATTTACGTGGAGATGTGACAAAAACTGATGTCCATTTTTTAAAAGAACATTGGTCTTTTTTCTCACCTGACAGCCGAGGGAGTCTCTCTCCTGTCTCATAGAGGGCACACCCTCTTCCAAATCATCCCATGCAATTGTTGAGAAAGCTGCGACAGAAGAAAACGGTGGGACCCCTGAATGCATTTATGCGCTCAAAGTGACTTAAAGGCACTAATCCTGAAATTCACCCATTGTGTCAGGTTGAGCTTACCTTGTTCGATGATACATGGAAACTCAACATACACAGTGACGGGACTGCTGCTTCTTGGCACAAGCACTTTATCCTGTGGGTAGAAAACACTATAAAAGTCTTTCCCACTGCACAGAGAAGCTCTGTGTTTTGTGAAAAGGCAAATATTTCAAACCGTTTTGTTTGTGACAGCGTTCGTCCATTTTTGCCTCACTTGGTTGGGACAAATACCATCAAACGTTTTTCCGTCTCTTTGCATCTCGATGAGCTAAGCTCCGTCTGCAGAACTAGGAGGGCATGATTTGATTTAGAGCTAATATACTCGACGTTCTCCCGGTCTGCGTTTCTTCATGCCGCGGTTTCACACTTTCGACCCAATCAAATGCACCTATTTGGTCTCCAGGGAGTAACAGCGTCCTCGGAGATTAAACGGGTGCAGACTAACGGTTTTCTGAAGTGTAACAGTGGTGCCGCGCGTAACGGCGCCATTAGGCTACAGCAGGTGTTCCTTGCCTCAGACCTGCTTTCCTTGAGCATTCAGCTAGTCCCTGTGCCAGATGCTGGCTATGGTTTCTTTTGGACATACTGAAATGTTTAGAAAAATGCCTTAGGCTCATGTATTGTATGGCGTACATAAACAACAGATGTTGTGCAAGCTGAGCGTCACAAAATAAAGTCGCCAAAATATCTTATTTTATAATTATATATCGTAATAATTATTACATATTTTATGTAATTATAAATAAATCCTCATCAATTTATTTAATAGCATGTTTGCGACCATAACAGTCAGTGCGTAATTTCCATCTTACTGTGCGTAAAATATCTAATTAGCTTAGGTACAATCCTTCTGCTACAGTTAAAGAGCAGGGGAAAAGGAAAAGGGCAATTACAGCCGACAGCTCAGTAAACAGTCGTGACTAATGCCTCTATTAGTAAACAAACAAGAGTACCCTTAACGCTGAATACACCTGTGTGGTCGACAAGGTGTCAGCAGGTCGAGCTGCCACGCGTAATGGATTATCAGATAAAGCCCCTCAATTGACCAAACTGGGTTGGCACAATTTGGTTTCACATAATATAGCCAAGGGTAAACAAAAAACGAGGGTAAACGGACTTCCAGACAAACAAGCACAATAGCCCGTGTTGGAGAGCCACAAGAGTCAGTACATTGAAGAAAGTAATGTTACACACAAGGTCTTATCCTCACATTTACAGCACTTTCATGGTCGTGTGTGTGTGTGTGTGTGTGTGTGTGTGTGTAGGGTGGGGGGTATTAGATTTATACTTGTAAAAAACGTGCTTTCTGGGGTGACATTTTGTCATCAGTCATTTAATACTGCAGTGCTGTGAAAACTGAGACTCCACTTCCACGTCTATTAAAATACAAAGAATTTGCAAACAGACATTCAACTGCTTTTTCTCAGGTGTCATGATTACCTATGCATGTAATCAAGGCAGATTTTTATGTTTTTGACTCACATGTATTCTTTAAGTTGTCATTTTAATTAATTTTATTCTGTTTCATATGATAGTCAAAATTATTTTAGCTGCATTCTTTGTGGTAGCTCACACTTCGTGTGGCACATCTTGCTTATAGCTGATTTATTTCAACAGTAAACATAAGTTGCAATGAATCACAATAAGTTTAGAAACCGGGACAAATGCGTTTGAAGATGATTTTAATTAACTGTAGCAATCAATTCATTACAACACATTTTTCTTCATTAAAGATGTTCCAAAACTAACAAAACTCATAAACCCACAACAAATAAACTGGCATACAGAGGATTCTGACTTTTTGTTAAAAATAATGAAAAATAAAAATTATATTTCAATATACTTCATAATTATATAGTAAATTATCTTAAATAAATAAAAAGCAATGCTAAATCATAAGCATCCTGTAGCTGTAAACGGTTGACTGTCTATGAGGTATGTATAAGTAAAAGTCTGCATAAACACAAGAATTCTGAGCACCAAAACCCCCCAAATAGATATCTTATCCTCACTTCTTTGTTTAAGATATAACACTATAACCCACAATTAAAGGGGAATTTAAATTGCTGTTATCAAAATAGTCACACTCATGTAGTCACATAGTAGACATCACATCCAATGTCTCCAGGTTTAATGACACCAACAGCTTCAGGTTGTCTTTGCATTCCTGCACTAGACTCTGTTTGTAGCTGTCATCCTTCACTGCTAGTGAGTCTCCCTCATAATGCTGAGAATTGCCTGTTGGCTGAAAAGAAACTGACTGTGAGCATAGTTCATCCACAAAACTGTCCCACTGAACTTCGTGTGAATGGATGGTTTCATGCTCAGGAAGACCTTGTTTACTTTTCAGTAACTCACTAGCTACACTCAGTGCACAGCTGGCAGTCAGTGATGGAGGGTATTTGTTGAAAGCATAGTCTGCAAGAGTCAGCTCACAAACATTTTGTGCAAGGTTGCTGCACTGCCTGGGCATTTTTGTGTCAGGATTCATCCTTGAAATCCTGTCATCACCTTTGTTCCCAGTCACTAGCTGTGAAGCCTCGATGCAGTTGGTGTAATAGTCTAGAAAAAAGGCCAGGGTGGGTGCAGAGAGGCGGAAGTTAAGACGAAGCAGGATGAGACACTCCAGGTTGCAGAGCTGCTCTTTGGTGAACACATCACAGCACAATGACAAGAGATGGCTGATTCGTGGTGAGCAGACCTCCACCTGCAGAGGACAAAGAAAAGGATAGTAGAATGATATCCAAAAACACAAACCGTCTGCTCCACGAGCATACCACACAAACCTGTTTACTGGCTAGGAGAAGTGCGGTGACACCAATGAGCTGGAAGCAGTCAGCAGCAACAGGTGTGGAGGCCAGGAACCTGTCCATGATGTTCACAGCCAAGCAGCAACACTCGAAAGACAGACGGAAATGTTTGTGCACAGGGATGAGCCAGCTGACCAGCTTACAGCGGGCCTCTGCGGTCAACTGTATGTAAAACACACACTCATCAAAATAAAAACTTTTAGTGACCTTGGTTCTTAAATATGATGTGCTCTTAATGTACAACAAGGTATATATTTTCTGGCATTTCACAGTACAGTACCCTACATATTATCAGTAAATGGTCCTAAAATCGTCATGTATTCTGCATCTCAGGTGTTTCTTTAGTTGAACAATAGAACTAATTAATATCTGGAAGTCACTCTCACTGGAACATTTAACTATCTGCCTTTAAACAAAAGGAGTGAATTACCAGTTCAATTTATATGACAACAAATATATTTTAATTTTTTTAAGTAGTCAAAAAAGTATAAATATACGTCTAACGCGGTTCATTTAGTTACAAGCTGTAAGTGTCTTACTTGCGGTTGGCGTGCCAGGCTTTTGCAGGGATGAAACTGCGCCTCTTTCTCCCTTTGGATCATAAACCCGATGTCTCCGTACTGAAGGTACCAGCTGCAGAGTTGCCCTGCAACAGGTTTTTGTGACATGAGCAGGGAAATCTCATTCTTAGCTGGGGATGAACTCGGGGAGCATGCCAAATCTTCTTCAAAACCAGAGTCTCTTAATTTGGACACGAGTTTCTGTTTTCTATTCCGAGCAGTTTGGCGCTGTTGAGCCAGCGTGAGAGTTTCTGGAGAAGGAGAGGCGACGTTCATTCGGCTCCTTTTGAAAACACTGTCGAAACCACCTTCACAGTTCTCAAAAGACACCATCTCCAGTGTCTGACTAGAGCCGGTTTGCACACGCGCTGTTAGGCCAGCGACTGCGTATTTAGGCTACTGAGAGCAGTGAGTCCACAGCAGCAGTCTCCTGGATGCTGGTTTCTGGATTTAGTGGGGAGTTCTCTCTGATGACGTCAGTTTTCGCGGGGTCTTCCCCGCTCAGGCAGCTCACGGCTCTCCTGTGACCCCGGGCAACCAAAGCTAAACAATCACTGGCACCATCTAATTAATTATCCTGAACCATATGTTATACTCTTAAGTCACGAGAGAGAGGGAGATTAAAAGACAATAGATGCCTTGCCCTTTAACTTTGTGCAGAAAAAACATCAAATTACTTGGGCTTATTATTTTATAGAAAGCCTACATGTGAAATGTTCGCATGTGAAATGTATATGAAATAGTTTAGATTTGATACATGTATTTTTCTTCTTCTTGTTCTTCCTATAATCATGCTAACATCAGAAAATTATTAACAACAATAACAACATTATAATTTCAATTATACTACAAAAATGTGAGCAGTGTATAAAGTTCTTAATATTCACGATGTTTTTATAAGTATTAAAAATTTAATTTCTGTGCAATATATCAGTTTCTTTTTCTTTTTTGCGGTGGGCGGAACACGGCCGCTGACGACTAGAAAATAAACGGCTCCTATGTCACCTTTCAAACTCTAGTGCAAGACAAGAGAGCGTGCCAAGTCAGAACTGAACAAGGCTTCAACTATGTCCTCTGTGCACTAGCGGGAGGTATTTTGATTTATTTAATAATACACGTGTATAGTACAAGCTAGCGTGTAATTAATGGCTGCCTTTATCTCAGCTGTAGGCTGGGCAGCTCGACAAAAAATTGCAAGAAACAGGGACGAAAGCCGCTGCTAGCTGTTACCCTTAAGTGCCTGTGCTAGCAAGCTAAGTATGTGTAGCTAGCGTTAGCATTGCTGTAACTGTGTTGCAGCAGGAGCTAACAAGTGCGGTTACTAGCACTTATTTGTTGACGAGTTGTAAGGCACTGAGGTGGCAAAGTTATAAACCACCAGCTCGAGGAAGTAGAAGAAGTAACAGTAGAGTCAAATAATAACGCTGCTGAAGCTAGGTAAGCTAGCTAACGTCTACACCATGTCATAATCTCACAATCCTGTAGTTTGGGTTAGGCTTTACGTGTGTGCGCAAACTATTTCAGCTAACTAAGCGGCTGTGTTATACTAAAAATAGTGACGATAAAATGTTGACATTTAAAACAAGTTTTTGTTTTTTAATTTTTATTTTAGGAATGTCAGCGTTCATGGCCATTGAAAAAGGGTTAACTGTTAACCCGAGTTTGCAGAAGTCAGCCAGTGTTTTAGAGAGGTTAATATTACCGTTTTTATCACCCGTTTTTATCACAGTTACAACCAATATACGTTTTTCTACATGCCAAAATAAAATTAACTGAAATGGGACACTGCTTCTTCAAACAAGGGACTTCTGCCAAACGCAGACGTTTGGCAGGTCTCTTGTAACACAGTTTGTGTTAGTGCTGTTTTGATTACATAAGGACTATTACCACATTAACTGGACATTTTATCTTGCAGTTTTATCACAGCAGTGTATCATGGAAAACTCTGGCAGGCCTTACCGGGCTAAGCAAGGCGGCAGGGAGAGGGGGGCGGCAGCAGCAGCGGCAGAGAAGGGAGAAAGCTGGTGGATGCAGGACCAGGTGCGAGGACAGAACTTCAGATCAGATGGAGGCCAGCAGGCCAAGAAAAATCAAGGTGGGCCTTACAGGGCCAGCCCTAAGAAGGGAGGACTGGGGCCCCTAAGCCACTCTCCTGGTGGATTAAGAGGAGGCCACAGCCCCTCACAGAGAGATGATGTCCGGTGGTTCTCAGGTCCTCAGGAAGATAACTGGAGAGAGCGCCCACAGCAGAGCTGGAGGAGGGGTATGCAAGGAGAAAGTCCAAAGGAGGACAGGGAACAGGGAAGGAGAGAAGCCACGGATGATGGTTTTCAAAAATCAGGTAAATGTCTGGAAGTCATTCTCTGCAGAAGGAATGAAACACTTTCAGCTTTATCACAAAGTCTATGTTGAAAACAAACTAGAAATTCATACTTCCCCCTGCATTTCTCATTTTCAAAGGTAAAAGACGGCGTAACAGAAACAAGAAGAAAGCTTTTGCTGAAGAGAACAGGGGCTTTGTGATTGAAGAGTCCACACTCTCAAACAAAGAGCTGCGCAACCTACGGCAAGCAGAGAGGCGGCTTAACAGGGACGAGATCTACAGCCTAAAGAAGGTACAGACCCTAAAAGCCGTAAGAGGTGATGTAATGTTTGAGTTGGTTGGTGTAGGTGATTTACAGATATTTCTAACGGTGTAATTTTTTTTTTTTGTGTGTGTTGTACAATTGTTTTAGAGGTCCCACAGCAACCCTGCTGCTCTTTACAACTGTGCCCTGTGTGATGTTCTCCTAGAGTCTGTGTCTGAAGCTTACAAGCATATTCGGGACAAACGGCATAAGAGAAGGGCCAAGGTTATTTTACATTTACCGTATATAGATTGTATTACTGTGTTGCTATTGTGGAGTAGTAGTTTTTATGTATTAAAGGCTGTGATCAAGACCCCTTTCCTGTATTTGCATGTTGACTTATAGGAGCGACAAGAGCAGCTGATGCTGACTGAGATCCTGCCTCCTAGTCCAGAGCAGATCAGTGCTATAAGTGCAGTACTAGATGCTGTTGTCCAGGAACATGGTCTGAACGACCTGGACGTTGAGAAGAGACGGTGTGTTGTCTCCACCATGCAAGATCTCCTCTTGTCTGTTCTGCCTGGTAAGACACATAAAGAGGAAAGTTCACAATATACAACAACTGTGCTCTTTCAGTATTATTAAAACGTAGCAATATTTACCTGCTTTCTCTCATCTATAGAGGTCCGACTCAGGCTTTATGGATCATCTTGCACTAAATTTGGATTCAAGGATTCTGATGTCAACATTGACATTCAGTATCCAACTCACGTGAGTAACACAGTGTGAGTTCATGATGTGTGATACAATTTTATTGTATTTTATGTTAATTTTATAATGATATTAATGTTAAAAATTAAAACTGGAGGCCTGTCAGGAGAATAATAGCTAGGGGAAGAAGTCTTTCATCTGCATGTATATGTTACAAGTTATGTGGGTTTAGGGTGACATTATTTAAGGGAACAAATACAAGAGATGACAGCAAAAATATTAGTATATGGCAAAGGTAAGATGTGGTGGTGTGGGTGGCGGGAAAAATATAATTTCACTTGATTTTAGATTTCACAAGTTGTGTTTCACATGCTGTGCTTGTAGCATGCACCATAATTATGTTCTTTTTAATATTATATTTATGCTGTATAAAGGCTTTGAAATGGAATGTATTCACAGATGCATCAGCCAGATGTCTTGATGTTGGTTAAGGAGTGCCTCTCTGTGAGCTGTGAGTTTTGTTTTCATTTTAGACTCAAGAGTCTTGAAGAAATCTTTCAGACATGGTAAAGTCAGTCATGTGCTTGAGTGTCATGGAAAGTTTAAATTGTTTGTGTTGTGCTATTCTCAGCTCTGTTTGTTGAGATGGAGGCGGACTTTCATGCCAGGGTGCCTGTGGTCATCTGTAAAGAGAGAAGTAGGTCTGTATCATTTGCAGTTACATGGGTTTTTCTTGCATGTGACAAGAGAATATTAACAGTGCTCATACCACAAGAGCATAAAACTCCAAATTAAAATTAACTTATTTTTTTGTTCCCCCTTCCTCCTCAACAGTGGTCTAATCTGCAAAGTTAGTGCAGGGAATGAAAACGCGTTCCAAACCACCACATATCTTTCTGCCCTGGCGACTCAGGAGCCTCTCCTCATGCCACTGGTTTTGGGCTTCAGACGCTGGGCCCGGGTATGTTTCTAGTAGACAAAGACTTGTTCCTCACATTAGCAAAGGCATCAAAACTATTCACTCATTTCTTTTTTTCAAAGTTGCATTTGTTCTTAACATCATTTTTGGCTTTCTGTTAAGATCTGTGAAATTGATCGCGCAGAAGAGGGGAGTCTACCACCATATGTCTTTGCCCTTTTGGTTATCTTCTACTTACAGAAGCGCAAAGAACCTCTCTTGCCTACCTATTTCAACCAAGATGTAAGTCTTTATTTTCATTTCCATCCTTAAAAAAAAACAAAAAAAACCCATATTAGTTTTGCTTTTCATTATTGACTCTTTTTAGGATTATTTTGGAATAAACTGATGCAAACATCTGCCCATCTTTAGATCAAAGTGTTTTCTCTCAGCCGGCTGTCAGACTTCAACCTTACTCATACAGAGGATGGGTATTTACACTGGGCCTACACCCCTTCCTCCAAGGAGTCATCTCAACCAGCAGAAGGCAACTCCATAAAGGGGAAGGTAATCATGAAGATGGACACATAAATAAACTGAAAGACTTCCAAAGAACAGAAAATATAATTTTGACTTGTATTTGGAGACAGGTTTTTTTTTTTTGTTTTTTTTTTTTTAAAGGCTGTTAAATAAATTGAAAACTTGAGTGATAATTTTTCAGACTCTTAGTAATATCAGGCTGTCTTGCAGGTTCCGCTGGTGTTTCAAAGTCCTCATCCACCAGTGGAAGTTGGACTTCTCTGGGTCGAAATGCTTCGCTTCTATTCCCTGGAGTTCATCATGGCTGACAATATAATCAGTGTGCGGACTGGAGCTGTCCTCTCCAGAGAGATGAAAGACTGGCCTAAAAAGCGGATCGCTGTAGAGGGTCAGAAGCTTTGTTATGTTTGAATCATTTTCATGTCTTGATACTTCTGTAAGGAGAAGTGGTCACACAGAATCTGTTTTAATGTTGCTTATTTCTCTGTTGATTCTGTCCAAACCTAGATTTTTATTTCTGTTTGATTCATGGATTAAAGCAGTGGTTCTCATACTTTTTCTTGCATACCCCGTTTCAGACGTTGGAAAAGTTAACAACCCACAGTTTTGTTTTTTTTATCAGTCATTAACTATTAATTGTAGTTTTACTTGTAATACTTTATTTTAAAGTGTAATTTTGCTTAAAGCTCAGTGCAAAATAATCAACAAACTATTGTATACCCCTTATCCCACCCTTTTCGAAGTTATTAATTCAATTTAACCCCCCACCTCCCCCTCCCCAAACCTGGTTGTTTGTGTCCAGTTGCAGTGGCTAAGGTGCGTTTATGAACCACTGTGATGAAGAGACTTCTTTTATGTGTTCTAATGTTTACAAATGGTTCTGTTTCAGACCCGTTTGCCGTGAAGAGAAATGTGGCCCGCACAGTGAACAGCCAGCAAATGTACGAGTACATCCTCCACTGCCTCAAAACCACATACAAGTACTTTGCACAGTCACTCAATACACCAGCTGCTAATCACAAAAGAGGACTGAAGGGAGGATATGTTCAAGGGGCCAATGCTAAGGCTTTGAATGACGAGAGTGTGTGCTTGTCAGATTTCAGTAATCTCAGCATTCATTCAAAATATACGAGCCAATCTAAATCTGTAGAAAATGGCCCTGAGGACTCTGATTGCATTATTGAGGAAGAGGAGGAAATTGAAGAATTCAGTGACTCAGATGAAGAGCGAGAAAAAGAAAAATTGGACTTGGGCAAAAGCAGCCTTTCGGAGGATGAGGATGATGAAGACGAGCAGGATGATGACATAAATATTGATGTCGACATGCATAACAGAGACCACCTGGACAGCTTCACCATAGAGGATGAAGAGATTTTCCTAGTGGACGAGATCTCAGGGGAGGAGCTTTTGTCCGATGAGGAGGGTCCAGATTTGGACACACCTGGTTCAATGGATGAGGAAGAGGAGGAGGAAGTGGATTTGGCACCTGTCAGTGTTTCTCAAATTAAAGATGAAACACCAGAAAATAAAAATGAAAAACAAAGCAGACCATCTTATGAGTTCACCAAGCAAGCTTTCACCAGAGGAAAGGTAAGTTTGCCTTCACTTGTCATCAGTTACTGGCAGCATTTGCAATTGTGTAATTTGATTAAACAAAGAACACATAAAATTTTAAAGTTGTATGGTAAAGATTTAGGTTGTAAGTGAGGAAAACTATATGTGTAACTCCTTTCAATATCACATAGTCCCACATGGTCGTGTGCAGCTTGTGCAAACGTGATGGACATTTGAAGAAAGATTGTCCAGAAGATTTCAAGAAAGTGCAGCTTGACCCCTTGCCCCCAGTAACACCAGAGTTTCTCAGTGTCCTCAACAAAGTCTGTGAGCAGTGTTACAGTGAGTATTATGGGACATGTAACCCTTACCTGCATTGTGATGTCATATTTCTACTCTTGCAAATTTTAGTAATACATACAATGACAAAAATATACAAATGTATTTCAAATGGTTGAGAAATAAATTGTTTTTGTCGATGGTATGAACAAGTTTTAAAAATGAGGCTCATGCAAACATTTTCATACTGTTGGACTCAACAAACTTAATTATTGCAAGTTCCTCATTTCAACTTAATGAAGTCCACCTGTTCATGTTTTTTTGAGTTCTAATCATTAGCACTTAAGCAAAATTTTATGTAAGATTTAAAAAGTGCTTTGGAAGAAAACACAGCTGTATCCGTGGTTTTAGGCTTATCTGGTAAAATTTGTGTGAGTTTATGGTTTAACATGTGGGATGAGAATATGTTAAACTTTAAAGTGTTAAAATGTACACAACTCTAAAAAGAGCTTAATGCAGGTGCATGAAAAGTGTAGTATACCATCCACTGGACCTCAGCTTATGTGACTGTGTTTCACAAAATTTTGTATAAATAAATAATTTTATTTATATAGCACCTTTCTAGACAGTCAAAGTGCTGCTGCACATAAGATAACAAATGATAAAAAGGTAAAACGGACAATATAAAACAGGCAAAAATGAGCCAAAAACAGTTTTGAGTTTGTTTGTTTTTTTAAAGTTGTTGTTTTGATATTAATCAACAACTTGATTGTTAATTGTAGTCAGTTATCATAATATGTCTAATTGGCATGTTCATATAACGTTATTTCCTGAGTCCTGTTGTAAAGCCAGTTATTTAAGACCACTTTTGGTGGAACAGTGCTTGTGTCCAGTAAATTACTTGGTCACTAAATATCATTCATTCATTTTTAAGGTGATTTCGCCCCAGATGAACTGGAAGTGGGTGTAAGAGAGCACATCCTTCAAGACCTTGAGATTTTTGTGAGAAGACAGTTTCCTGGTGAAGTTGATCTTTTAACTTTTTTTTTTTATTTTTTTAATTGAATTGGCGTGATGATGCATCTGAATGATTTGGTTAACAAATCATGTGTTGATTATTTATTTTAAATCACAGGTGCTCAGTTACAACTGTTTGGCTCATCCAAAAATGGCTTTGGATTTAGACAGAGTGACCTGGACATCTGCATGGTGTTGGAAGGACAAGAAACCATAGATGTGAGTTATCAATAATTCTTTACCATGTAGTTTTGGTTCTGTTCATCAGGGAACCAGCTGCAGTTGATCTTTAATTTACACCAACTTGATTTATCAAGCTTCTAATGAAGACTTGAAGTTGATGCGTATTTGATCTGCCAATATGCTTGAAGAATACATTGGTAATATTATTTTACTTGGAGGCAAGTTGCCCTTGTTCCTTTTCATTGTTATGGTTGAATTACTTATTATCTAGCAGGAGCTTATATTAAATCATTTTTGCCTTCATTCCATCATAGGATATTAACTGCATCAACATCATTGAAAGCTTGGCAAGATCGCTAAAGAAACACCCAGGTAAGACATAGTAGCTGTGGTACGAAACTGACATTCATGCACTTTATTTTGTCTGCAACCAGCAACTGTCAGTTTTGATCAAATGACAAACTGTTCTGGTTTTAAGAGATTCTAAAGTTCTAATATAATCTTTAAAATAATTCACCTTAAACAAAATGTTACCTACCCATTTACATTAATGAGAAATGCATTAAGCTGAAATAAATTATGATTGAATAAAGTTCTTAATCTTCCCCATAAGTGCCTGTAATGTCATTATGTATCCACATCAGGGCTGAGGAACATCCTTCCCATCACTACAGCAAAAGTACCCATTGTGAAGTTCTACCATGTTCGCACTGGCTTGGAGGGAGATATAAGCCTCTACAACACACTGGTGGGGCTCTTTTTGTCTTTGTATGTATTTGAAAATAAGAAAATGTGCACCTTTTGAAATTTGCAGTTTCTGTTTGTTTTTTTTCTCAGGCCTTGCACAACACTCACCTACTAGCTACGTATGCTGCAATTGACAGAAGAGTGAAGATCCTCTGTTACGTCATGAAGGTTTTTGCCAAGGTGAACATGCTTTACAGACTTGTGACTAAGACATCTTTAAGTGTTCTTGCTATTGTATTGTTCAACGTTAAAATGTTGTTTCCACTTCCATTACAGATGTGTGACATTGGAGATGCTTCACGTGGTAGCCTCTCGTCATATGCCTACACCCTCATGGTGCTGTTCTTCCTTCAGCAGAGAGACCCACCAGTTATCCCTGTGCTGCAAGAGGTACAGATGTCTGTTTGAAAGAAGAGCCAATTGTATTCTCTTTACAAGTTGCACATAGATGTGTTGATTTGTCTATGCGAGTGTTGTCTCAAATACATTTATCCCCTTAAACTAAAACAACAAACTTATACCTCCATTTGGATGAATTTGTCAACAAGTCTCTTTGTAGTAGTTATTTAAAGTATTTCACAATATCATGTGTCAAGCTTGACTGCTTGGTTTCTTGCAGATCCATGATGGGAAGAAGCCTGAAGTACTAGTAGATGGTTGGAATGTGTACTTCTTTGATGATTTTAAAGCACTAGTAAGTGTTTTGTATTTGATTTGTGCCTAAACAATATGGTTAATATAAATGTAAGACTGTGTCTTAGTAGCTCATCAATATCGTCTTTTTCCACCTTCAGCCCAGTCACTGGCCACACTATGGGAAGAACACCGAGACTGTGGGGGAGCTGTGGCTCGGCCTACTCCGCTTTTACACTGAGGACTTTGACTTCAGAGAGCATGTTGTCTGTATCCGACAGCATGCCCGCCTCACCACCTTCAACAAGCAGTGGACATCCAAATACATAGTCATTGAAGGTAGCCTTGTGTGAGACTATTGCTGCAGTGTATTGTAACTAATTTATCCACAATCAAATGTGTAATTTTTATTTGCTGAATCAAAGTAATTGTATATGTCTGCTTGTGAAGATTTTTCAAGTTCATTTTCTTTGTCACAGATCCATTTGATCTCAATCATAATTTGGGTGCTGGTCTCTCGAGGAAAAGTAAGATGGATATCGATTTATTTTTTTCCCCCCATTTCTAACATCTCAATGATTTTTCTTGCACTTTTCACTACTTAAAATGTGCATGTTTTTATTTTGGTCATCAAAACAGTGACAAATTTCATCATGAAGGCTTTTATCAATGGCAGAAGAGTGTTTGGCACACCCATCAGATACTTTCCTCCTGTGTATCCCAGTCAGATGGTCTGTATTTGTTGTCTGAACATTACTTTTTTTTTTTTTTTTTATTGTGGTGATATTATCCAATCAGCACTAAAACTGTGTTTTACCTGCATCTTTCCCAGGAGTATTTCTTTGATCCTGAAGTACTTACTGAAGGAGAAGTGGCTCCCAATGATCGCTGCTGTCGCATCTGTGGAAAGATTGGCCACTTCATGAAAGACTGCCCCCTGCGTAAGAAGTGGGTGCAATCTCAAGTATTTTGTCATAATATTTACTTAAAAGTCTGTTAGCACCTTGTGTGCCTGCCTTAATGTTGATGTTACATCGTCAATGATTTTGGACCAGGTCTAAACATAGAAGGGACTCTGAGAGAAGGCCAGAGTACCCACAAGACAAAATGGATACAGCAGAGGAATCGAAGGATCAGGTCAGACACAAAAGTGAACACTGGCGGAAAAGGGATGGAGTGGATATTCGTTGCTGCTACCTATGTGGATCAACTGCCCACATCAAGAAGGACTGCCAGCTGTACAGAAGCCCTGCTGGTAAGTACCTGCAAGGTCACTTTACATTCTTTGAAGTATGAAAAAAGTCACTTACTTTCAATATTCACTTGTCATTTGGCAGGTAATGTGAAAATGGAGAATTATTCTTCTTCACCCCACTTTAGGAATTTGCGAGAAACAGAGAAACAGGTATGTTGTATGTTTTCAGTCAACCTAAATTATAATTAATTCTGCTTTGTACAGTTGTAGAAGTGTACATCTTTTGAGCTGTCTTTTATTTTAGGGCATACCTATACAAGAAGATAAGAAGAAGAGAAAGCAGCAAAATGTGATATTAAGTCCACAAGCAGGTAATTTAATTTCCCATACTTTTTATGCATGGAATCAGATGTCTCAAACCTATACTATTAGCACTATGTAGCTAATTTTAACATGTATTTGATTTATTTTGTTTGTAAATTGAAAGTAATTTAAACTATTTGGGCCCAACTAGTCCAAAATAATCATAGCAACTACAGATAAGCATACGGCTATTTATTATGTTACGTCTTCATTAAGTTTAGTTACACTGCATTTGTACTTAATTGTGGATTGTTAGCCAGCATAGTCATGTATAGTAACACTATAGTGAGCCTTTGATTAGATGTACAATTAGCACCCAATTTAAAAGTGATGCTTTCCCAACATGTGGGGTGGCTGTAGCTCAGGTGGCAGAGCAGGTCAGCCACTAATCAGAAGGTTGGTGGTTCGATCCCAGGCTGCCTCCTGGCTGCATGCCAAATATCCTTGGGCAAGATACTAACCCCGTGTTTGCCTACTGGTGGTGGTCAGAGGGCCCGGTGGCGCCAGTGTCCGGCAGCCTCGCCTCTGTCAGTGCGCCCCAGGGCAGCTGTGGCTACAATGTAGCTTGCTATCGCCAGTGTGTGAATGGGTGAATGACTGAATGTAGTGTAAAGCACTTTGGGGTCCTATGGACTAGAAAAGCGCTATACAAATGCAGGCCATTTACCATGTATTTCCATCCCTAAAGCACACATTTTGCCAACTTTATTTTTTTTATTTTTTTTAAACGAGAATTATCTGTAATTTATGGAGACAAAGTGCAATTTCAATTTTCAGAGAAATTAGACTTGGTTGACAGTGTATTTTTGCATTGGGTCAATTGTCTAGGGCTCATAAAGAGAGACGACATGATTTCTATGCAGCAGGCTCAGATTCATCCATCTTTTTCTGGACTCTGGAGCAAACACTTTCTGATCTTTTTCCTCAAATGTAGCATTCTGGTCCTTATTTTATCTGTTGTTTTCCATGTGGTCTTAGAACACATTCTCTGAGTTATTGTACCTGGTATTATTGCCTGAATGCGTTTTTGTTTTTTCTTGGTCAATAAAGCAATGTTCAGTTTGTGTGGATCAAGCAGTCTGCTTAGTTTTGTCACCTTCTTAATATTGGGGGGGTGTTAATGCTGCTGTTGAGTTAGAAAATTGTGTTTGTAATAAATGTTGATGACTGCTTTCTGGTTTGTTTCAGGTAGTTTAACCTGCCGAAATTCGGGTCGCTCTGGTCAGAGGAAGAGCCCAGTGGAATGAGAAGTGGCTGTGAATAAAAATAAAAAAAAGAAAAAAACTACCAGATTCTACTTTTGTCCAGGCAGACAGCAACCCAAAGTCCAGAAACCCTTAAATCTGAATGGTACTGTTGGGCCAATAGTAGCCCGTTCAAAGCCAAAGCCAGGACATCTTGACTTGAAGCCAAATAGGGCCTTTTTATTGTTGTGGGTTTTGTTTTTGGGTTGTTTTTTTTTTTCTCCCCCCAAAACGCTCCTCCTGAGAGGGGTGTGTGTGGTTTTTTTTTTTTTGTTTTGTTTTGTTTTTTAAAGCTTTCATTTAAAGAAAATAAGCAAGTAAGCATGCATGTGATGCATTAAAATACTTTGCCAGTCAAGAGGTTTTCCCTTGTTTTGTTTTTTTTGTTTTGTTTTTTGTATATATAAAAATTTTACATTTAAAGCAATATTACTGCAAATTTGGTGTAAAATCTCTTAAAATTGGAATGTAAATAACTGTCTCCTAGACGACTAATAGCTTAGATCCCAGTAGGGTATCTTTTGACATCATACTGTATCTTTAATGCTAAATTTTATTTTTAATTGTTTTGGTGGACACTTGAAGGTTCAACCGTCCTTTAATTTGGTAGACCAGTGTATATAAACACTGTTACAGCTGTGAGTCAGATTGAAATGATAAACTGATTATGATATTAGTCTGCTACTCAACATCAAAAAGTCAAGGCTATTTCACATTAAACCAAAAAGGTTTCAATTCATATGCGTTCTTTTTTTTTTTTTTTTTTTTTTTCTTCCCTTAAGTGTTGTTTTAGAGATTTGGGGAAAAGAAGATGTTTCTTAATGGCAGTATACCTTTTTAATGGCCTGGATCTGTATTTTTTTATTTTATTTTTAATTATAAAATCATGTGTTTGTCCTCTGCACTGATGACCATCTGTCCATGTCTCTGGTGTTCTTGAAGACAGAACTACCTGCAAGGTGTCTCCATGTTTGTGTGCCTTTTTGTTAGAGAAACCACCATGTAGATATGTTTCTCAGGATCACAGTTTTATTCCTAGGCTGCTGGTCCACTCAAGCTTCATGGATACATACTGCTCTAAAACTGCCTGCAGATGTTAGTAGAGGGAAGGTAAAAGCTCATTACCTCTCAATTTTCTATATGTCTTCACACTGCTAGGATGTGTTGTAACGATGGTAGAGGATCACATGCTTGAGGGAAGTTGGGTAAAAAAAAAACTTCCTGTGCAGACTCTTAAAATTGATATTTTAAAAAGGAAGAAGGGGAAAAAAATGAAAAGCTGTTCTGGCTGGCTGCACACACTGCGCTCCAACTAGAGGTAATCTCAGTTAGTTCATTGGAGAGCGAAATGTATTTATTTGCCACAAAGGCTTCATTTCATTGTAATGTTGCCACAGATTGGTAGCTGCACTGTGGGGTGGGTGGGTGTCCAGGCCCTTGGATTATGTTGCTGCTAATGTCTCAAAGGCCTGCTTATAATTCAACTTATGTAGGGTGTCTGGCTTTATTATAGCTTACTCTTACTGATTTTTATAATAAAAATAAATGTTGGTATTGTAATCATATTTCTTATTTTAAAGGATGTGTGCTTTAATTGCTTTAATACCAGCTGTATTTTTATTTTTACTAGGATTAAATGGAGGATTTAATTTGGTGTCAGGGACCCCTGATTGTGTTAGGAAAGGTTTGCTCATTGTCCAGTTTGTCTCAAAGAATTAAACTGAAGTCAAATTCCAGTGTGCTTTTTTTAAATGTTTTTTTTATCCCCCCCTCCCCTTTCCTCCTCAAAATATTTAAAGTATATGAAGCAGTAATGCCAGGAGTCTTCAAAATGTGTTAGATCATATACTGCAAATCCTGCAGGTGTCACCAAAGCTGAAATAGTTTAAAACGATGAAAGAATTTCCCTTTTTTCCCTTTTTGTGTAGTACCACCCCCTCACACACACACACACACACACACACACACACAAAACTTAAGTTCTAGAAAATCTAGTAAGCCTGGAAAACCAAGCTGCTTGACGGTACAAATAACTATTTAATAACAATTGGTGTAAATAATAAGGTGAAAATTGTCCACGCATGAGCACCGCCGCAGAAGTACGTATTACCTATGGATTTTACACAAGGCTCGTGTCTGTAAGAGAAGGTTGCATAACAATGACATCCTGTCATTTTAACCCCTAAGCCTGTTTGCAGCCACAACTGTCCGTCGCAATAGTAGCCAATCAGATGGACGGATATTTCTTTGGGGGCGTTTGCTAAGTTTTTATACGCTTGCGCAATCATATGTTGTGATTTCTACAGTTGCGAGCAACATGTCTGCCTCCATGGTGCGAGCGACCGTTCGAGCGGTCAGCAAAAGAAAGATACTGGGCACCAAAGCGGCGTTGACACTGGTATGTTAATAATTTTTTGGTTATACATGCATGTGAAGCACTTTATGTGCTGTGAGTACATAGTGCTCGAATAAGGCTGGGGTTAACGGCTGCGTCCGGTATGATGTTAGTTGTGTAAGTTGGCTAAGCTAGCTAATCATCTGTTACACGCAGATCAACTTAATATCAACTTTTCTTGACCCTTATTGTAACGCTGCACTTTTTCATGTAGCGTTGACATTCACAATATTTAGAGTAAACACTGTGGCGGTTCTGCAAGCACGACGTTGGGCTCAGCTAGATGCTAACGCTGATAAGTGGCTAGTCAAGACGCCTTTTGTTAGTGTGCTGCTGAAGTTTCTGTACCTTGACAGCAAACTGGACGTTCGTAATATCAAGCAGAGTCACCATTTCAAGTCATACGGTATAAAGTTAAGCTTCTTTTGGGATTTAGAAAAAAAAGTGTCTGGCCTTATGATGTTGTGGATTATGGAGTAAAAGTTGTAACAGGTTTGATTGCAGCCTCAGGTTTGATTATTGAGGCTCGCAAAGAGTTGGCAGCATCGCCAGTGAATAAAAACCACCCCGAATCATATCCCGTATCAGTCCTAAAGAACACTGGACACATTTCCCATAAGCCAAATGGTAACACTGGTTCGTTTGCTGTGTAAACTCTACATGCTCAGAAAATAGATGGGTCGAGTCTGGTTTCACTGTTTTTGGCCAATAAACTTTAAGTAGTTAACAAATTTTATATTACTTGTAAAATTATTATTTTGAAGTAGTTTTCAAAATAATTGCAATTTTATAGCTATTTAGCTCATGTTCTGGTTTTTGCTTGCATTATATACTGTAACCAAAATCCCCCCAAAGCGGAGGGTGGGTTCCCAGACTAGGTAATTGTACATAAATGTAGGACAAATTTAAAGTACCTAGTGTGATATTTAATGTTAATGTAAATAAAATTCTGAGAGTGCACTTGGCGTGTAGTAAGCTCTCAGTACAGGCCAGAGTCATTACTTGTTTTCGTGGGTGGGATGAATATGCTCAGCTATTGGTGTTTCAGCTGATGAGCTCTAGTAACAGTGCTGTTGCAAGATAATGTACTTGCATGGTGGTTTCTGCTGATAACATTAGTGTACTGAAGTGTACTTAAAATAGTGGAACATCCTTCAGTAATGCAATTGCAAATGGCGCGGTACATAAGGGGACTGCCGTTACCCACAAAACATAATACAGTGTATTTACTGTATACATTACTATGGCACGATGAGTTATTTTTAACCTTGTGCTGGTGTGGTAATAAATACACCAGCACAATAAATACACCTATAAGTACATAACTTTGTATTTTAAAAGAGCTCTGGGTTGTGACACAGCAACACATGCAGATGATCACAATTTAATGGCGTACAGAAATTGGTATTTTGTGTCACAAATGCCTCCACATTAGAACTCACACACTGGCATTGATACTTTCAGCAACTACTGCTACAGCTGAGGTTGCAGAAGTTCTGGTTATTTTATGACACTGCTGTCCTTTTGGGGGGGGTAAAGAGTGGATTTTATTTCAACAGCAGCTAAACATTATTTTTCTCTGTTGTTTTTAGAAACAATCCTTTGCCAAATGAATTGTTTGCATCTGAATGCAGTGTAAATTGTAGCTGATGCCAGTAACGTTTTAACCTTCTATTGTCTCCTTTTAGACTCCAGCAGCAGTGAGCAAGATCAGATTGTTGTTGCAGGACAGACCAGAATATGTAAGTAATGAATATGGCCAATAAAACATCATCCAATTAAGAAGACAAAGCTTCTTTATACATTGATTAAAAGTGTTCCTTTATTATAGCACCAAATAAAATAAAATTCTGTCATATTGATCTGGTCAGTTAGGTAGCGGACAGGGTTGTTAATCAGTTTCAGCTGCTTTGGTGTTAATGAAATTAACAGCAGGTGCACTAGAGGAGCAACAATGAGACGACTTCCAAATCAGGAATAGTTTTATAGGTGGAGTCCACTGACATTTTTTTTTCCCTCCCGTGTTTTCTGACAATTTTTCACTACTTTTGCATTTGACTAGGGTCAGTGTCACTAGTGGGAAGGTGATGAGGATATACCTGGACCCTCCAGAGGTTGCACAGGTAGTTAAACTCCTCCAGGATGGCACATTAATGTATGCCATTGCAGTGTCTCCCAGCACAGTCTCAAGAGGATTGATAAGATTCTAGGAGAGCTGGACGGGGCCTTAAAAAGTTCTTAACTCATTAGCAATGTGGGTATCTGCTCCTTTGTGCAAGGAGGAACAGATTGAGCATGGCCACAGCCCTACAAAATGAGGCCACTGATGTCAATGTCTCTGATCAAACCATCAGAAACAGACTTCATGAGGGTGGACCCAACATCGTCTGTTGGGCGCTGTGCACACTGATTGGCATTTGCAACAGAATAGGAAGGCATACCCAATTGCACCCTGTGCTTTTCAGTATGTTCATTGAACATATGTACTGATGTAAAAGGGTTTGAGGAAACCATGGAGAGCATTATGCTGCTTTTTTAGCATGTCCGGTTTGGCAGTCAGTTAGTGATTGTCTGGGGAGGCACATCCATCCTAGACTGTCCAGGAGCTCAGTGATGCCCTGTCCAGATCTGGGATAACATCCCCGGGAGCCTGGCGCGACGTTGTCAAGCATGCATACAAGCTTGCGGGGGCAATACAAACTACTGAGCAGCATTTTGAGTTGCTGCAATGAAATTTCAGCCAAATGGGCTACCCTGCCGCATAACTTTTACACTTTGATATTCAGGGTGTCTTTGAATTCAGTCTTCTGTAGGTTGATAATTTTCATATCCATCATGTTGTGTGAAATTCTTTTCTTCCTAACACCGCACACAATCCATATCAGTATAGATACACCCCCATCACTAAATGAGCTTTGTCTGTATGGATTAAACAGCAACATGTTCACCTTATTTTTTCATTTGCTAAAGTTTCCTTCTTTTTTTTTTTATGAATCATTTGACTTGAAATTAAATTTAAAAATGTTATAAGGAATATCTGTGGGGAGTAGACTAATGTCAGCAAATTGGTTTTTGAATTACAGTTCAAACTGTCAGTTATTTAATTAAAACAGGGACATTCAAGCATTCAGAGTGAGCTTTGCCTCTGTAGAAAGTATTATTGCTACCATTAAATTCACAGGAACAAAAGAAGCATTTTGAGATATGAGTAGTGTCAAGACGGTTTACTAATTAAACTGCAACATTTTACTGAGAAGTATAATAATGTTTAAAAATAAAACTATGAAGATGTATTTTTTTCTTGTATCATTCATCCTTCCTTTAGTGCATATATTACAAAAAAATAGGGGGGGAAAGTCTGTTAACATATATCTGGTTCTCCATCAGATTGGTTTGAAGGTTGGGGTGAGAACACGTGGGTGTAATGGGCTGACTTACACACTGGACTACACCAAGGAGAAAGAAAAGTCTGACGAGGAAGTAGTACAGGATGGTAAGCTTTGTTTTATAATGAATCCAAGCTGAGAAAGAACTTTGTTGTAAGACTGATTGTGTTTGCCACACTAGGTTCTTGGGTAAGGTAATTGATTGAAAAAGTTTAAGGTTTTTGTGTTTCCAGGTTCAGCAAGTGCAATTTTTAAAATGTTCCAGGATTAAAAATAAGATAAAAAACAAAAAAACAAAACTAAATTTAGATGATCTCACATTGAGCTCCCATTTATCTTCTTGGATCCCTCTCGACTGCTTTCAGCATGGTTTCTGTTTGTAAGTCTCTCAATGAAAGTCCCATTTTGACCACTTGTACTGTGCACACTCAAATTTCACCACGTACAACTTCTGTTTCAAACCAATCCAAATTTGGTGTGAATAATCATCACACAGACTGTGGTGCATGGCAGCAACTCAGTCATTTACAAAGGATTTATTTTTTCTTTTAGCCACATTAACCTGGGTTAATCTGGTTAACATCAACTCCACAGCTTTCCTTCTTGAGATGCAGGGAAATCTACATTAGGTTAAGTTGAGCATTTTCAGAAGACCATTTCTGTAACATTATCACAGGTTGTAGTATTTGTGTTTCACTGCCTGTAAACAATCCAACCCTAAACTTCTTCGATAGGGGCCGACCATAAGGCTGTAACCTGACAGTAGTGATGACATTGTTCTGACCTTTTTTCAGGTGTAAGAGTGTTTATAGCGAAGAAGGCCCAGCTGACCCTTCTGGGAACTGAGATGGACTTTGTGGAGTCAAAGCTGTCTAGTGAATTTGTCTTCAACAACCCTAACATCAAAGGCACATGTGGTTGTGGAGAAAGCTTCAACATATGAGCACTATGGAGCCTCAGTCCCCCTTCCCTGCTCCAGACCCTGTCTCACTGATAAAGACTGACAAGAAAGTCTGATGTAAGGGAACCTTTGAGATGTGGGCATCCTTGAGTTATTACCACTGCTCTCCTGCAAGCCACTCGCGCATATGTAGTCATGAAATCCATGTATGCATATTGATGCTTAGAAGATTGTAATGCAATTGATGTAGTCAGAACCATCTTGACAAAAACGATTTTTAGGTTCAGATACCTCTGATGTAGACAACTGTTTATACTCAGCTCTGCAACTTTAAAAAAAATTTCTTAGGACCTCAAAAGAAATGACTTTTTAGGTTAAAGCTATGTTATTCACACTGTTTTCATAAATTCAGTCAGGTCCTGCCATGGCTTGTGTGAGGAGAAAATGATACATGTCCTGAGAACATGTTCACTAAAGCTGAGATCGGATGGGATTTACACTGTTAAACAAAAGGATGAAGCATGATGTTTCAACGTTTGAATCTGTCCTCCAAAACTTGCAGAAAGCCAACAATCAGCTGTTTGACAAACACGCCTTTAAGGTGTGCTATTATCCAGGGTCATGTACCAGTAGTATGCAGAAGTGGAAGAGCTTGAGTGTCTTGAAACTGTTTTATCAGTTTGTAAAAGCTTTTTGAAAAGTGTGTATTTATCTCTGTGTGTAAATAACTAAGATTGTAAATCCCTTGAACAACAACAACATGCGCACAAAAAAAAAACCAAACGCACAAAATATGCATCCCTCAAGTGAAACATGAGGTTTCTGTTTTTTCTTTTTGCTTGATGAAAGCCAGGATTTTGTTTGTATAGATGCTCTTAAGATTTGTAACCTGTGCAATATGTCAGTGTATATATGAAAGAAGATTAAATGGATCACACCGCAGCCTGTGCTTCATGTTCTGTTTGCATGTAGGACTCTGACCACCTGTTACTGTCAGAATCATCACAGTTGTCATGGAGATGTGATTCTGTGTCACTGCTGTGCCACAGAGTCCAGTTACTTGAGCCTGCTGCCCACCTGCCTTTGGCCCTTTTTTTTTTTTTTTTTTTGCCTACATTTTGTAGCCAGGCTGGAGACAGAGAGGGAGGTACTGTCATTGTGAAAGATTCAACTCTATTTTAGAGCTTTAACAGTGAAATGATGCAATTTCAGTTCACTTTATTGTTGCTGATTTGCTTATATTGTAGGTGTTCTACAGTCATGGACAGTCAAAACAAGGATGGCAGCAGAGAGTCTTATGAGCTCAAGGTATTAAAAACCAGTATGTGTAGAAAGATTGCCTTTTTATGTAGTTCTAGTTTCCCCTGATTTCTCTGAGGTGTTTCCCAAACACCAGCATCAGTCCATGATTTTTCATTAACCATTGCCAAATCTAAATGGTCCTAGTCTTAAGTGTTACTTAAAATAACATGAACACTGAAAGAATTTCTGAAACTCATCAGGAAACAACTGCTCTTTGTCAGAAAGACTCAAGAACAGCTCCCAGTAAAGTTCTACATCACAAATGAATTGGAACAGTAGCTGGGCTAGGCTCTAGCTATGGGTCATGAATGATGGCTGAAATATTTGATTGCCTTGTGCATTTTTTTTTTTGTGAAACCCCTCATGTACCAGTGTCTTTTGTGTGTCTTAGATTTCAGAGTTATTAAAGGGTTTCGCTGAGAGGAAAACATCACCCAATGAGAGCATTCATGCTAACATCAGCCTCTCCATCACAGAGCCAGGAACTTCTTACAACCATGGGAACTTCAGATCTAGAACTGTCCTCCCTAAAAAACTCTGTCAGCTGTCCACATGTCAGTATGAGAGGCAAGATCATCTGAGAGAAAGCTTCAGTGCTCCGGTACTCGTTCTTGCCTGCATCCCTGCATCTCAGGCGGGACAAAAGCAACCCACGTTATCATTCCCAGATCCAGTCCTCTTTGCACACCTGGTGGAAAAATCAGAGATCCTTGCCTCTGACTCAGTCATTCTTATCAGAGAACAGCTTGAAAAGCAAGAGATATATCCGTACATCCTAGGAGTGCAGGGTTGGAGGAAACGGGAGCAACGTGAACCACAATGTCTGCTGCGTAAACAGTTTCCCCAAACTGGTCAGTAAACAGTTGTAGCTGCAACTGTCACATGTAGGTTAGGGTGAACTAGGCTGAACAAGTTCACTGCTCTTAACTGCTCTAAGGTTGAATAGTAGCCATGGCTATTATGCAGTTACAGCTTAGTTAAGTGTGTTATATATCAGTATTAGTTGGGTGAACATCTAGATTTTGAGAAGTCCATTTTTTAATGAAAAACTGCAGGAGAGCAGTTTTTATAACTTTCCATACACTGACATACATTTGGTTAGCCACAAACCTAGGCAAAGATGCATACTTTATTGAAACTGACAAAAGAATATCTAAGATCTGAAAACTAGTTTCTCATGGATTTTTCATGAGCAAATATTTGTTGAAAATCATAATAAATAATAATAAATTCGAGATGTTCAAATGTTTGTAAATTCCCAGTGAGATTAAGAATGGGAGATGATTCACATGATGGAACTCCAGACTTATCAAAAAATTGCAAATTTTTTAAAATAAAAATTGTAAATATTTTGATACATATTACTAGATCAGCGATAGATCCTTTACTGACTGTTGCTTCATCCTGGTTCAGGGACAACCAACAAATGGTTCTTCAAGGACTTACTGGACCTCCAGAGGAAGCTGTTTTTGGGTGCCTCAAAGAAATCTGGAGCCCTGAGGAAATCTCAGACACCTTGGAAAACTTCACACCACCAGTCAGAATGTTCTTCTTTACTGCTTAGGAAAGTTCAAGACTGACAGAAGAAATAAACTGCAAATGAAACTAGCACTAACACTCAGTGGCAGAGTGGTCATTGAGGCAAGAAATGTATAATTACGTGTCAGAATGGTACCATGTTCCATAAAGCATTCTGAGACTTGAAAAGCATAGTCCTAATAATATGAAATATCCAATAAAATCATTATTAGATATGCAGGAAATAAAGTTAGATATTTTTTTTCACCCAAAAAGTAAAATTAAAATATGCAGATTTATAAAGACATCTCAGCACAAACATGTTTCTTATTGTTTCAAGCAAAAATAATTTTAAAGTGCTTAGTGGCCAGGTTAATATGTCAAACAACAAAAACAGACATGGATTATATACTCAAATGCATCTTTTTCTGTGTATGACATTGTGAAACTGGCAAGGTTTACTTGTTACTTTTCAGCCAAGGCTTCAAAGGTTCTAATGAGAGCTCCAATAACAGTTAATTGTACTGGAGGTGGCGAGAGATCAAGCTGTGCAGATCTTGTGTAAAGTGGCGTACCTCAGCATTGTCTCCCTGTTTACCTTCCTCAAGAGTGGCTTCTTGATACTCACCTGTCACCTGAGAACGTTTCTGGGTCTTTTTGTTTTTTTGTTGTTGTTTTTTTTAGCCCTGCTTCTTTTTGTCCTCCGTTTGTCGGTTATTTTTAAGCACAGTACACACCACACCAATATATGCCACATTTTTAGCTAATAGTTCTTCAGGAATCAACTTTTTGGTGAATAAGTAATATTACACTGACTATCAATCTGTATTATCGTTTATGTTTTTGCAGATTTAACTAATGAATTGGAAACAAGTTATGTACTTTTACAGTAGGCTGCTAATAACAAAGAACCTAAAGATGCAATTTAAAACTGTACTTATCTATTGTATGTAGAAGCAAATTACTTTTTTCATCCATTTTTATATATTTGAATGATTCATAGGTCAGTGTTTAGTGGTTTGAAAACATTAGTAATAAAAAGAAAACTGAAAATGGTCAGATTTATCAGCTTGACTGAAAATGTGTGGCAATATCTAAATAACATTTCTGAAAGACTTTCAGAAAGTTTGATAATGATCGATCCATTCTCTTCCACTTATCTGGACTCAACAGACTCATAAGACACAAATTTTGAGCATAGTGACTCTTTTCACTTGGCACAGAAGCAACAGCTTATTAACATTAACCTGATGAAGAAATAGAAACAATTTTAGCTTTTACAAGGTCACCCAGTCCTGGTTAATTACAGGTAATGATATTGAGTCTCTCTCACTCTTACACACACACACACACACACACACACAAATGACGCAAAGCAAAACAAATCGCCCATCATTTCCTACATGCCAACCCACCAGGTCTAGTGGAGTATAACAGTCTTTTCATGTCAGACCTGCAGAGAATCCATCGACAGCAGTGCTGCACCTTGGTTTTGAACGCAAAGAGAGGAGCACTGCCGAAGCAAATAAGCACATCACAGGTAAGAGAAGCTTATTGTTAAAAAAAAATCACTAAATTTGCTTATATATTAGTTTATCTTTACTTGATGCCATACAGTCCTGTCCAATTATTTTCAGTTTTCTAAAAATAAATACAAATGTATAAAAGTATCTCAAATGTCAAAACATGTCATCTAATACTTTTGTTAAACCACCTAAATTGAAGCTGATAGTTTTCATTCACGTCTTGGTTATTTGATTTAAAATCTCTGTTGTCTTTGTTCTTTTGCGTTTCTTGCACTCTGCTTTTATATTGAGAATTATACACTGATATGTTTATATTTATTGCAGAAATATCATTGGCTTTGATGCGTGAAGATGACGGTGGAATCAGACTCTGATCACGGTCCAGAGTGTTTGTCTGTATGCAACAAGTCTGCAACTCTGACAGGCCAAGGGCCACCGGTGTTGGTTAAAACCCCTTAGCAGTCCAATTAGTCCCCTAAACCATCCAATGTACCGTGGGCGGTACGTCCGACTGCTAACAGGTTGCCTGTCTGGTCCTCACTTTCTTTGGCTTCATCATGCTGGTCGGTCTAGTTGGGAACTCTTTAGTGATCCATGTTATCACCAGAAGATGAAGACTGTTGCCAATTTCTTTATAGGTAAATATCTCTGAAACACTGCAGTTTTTAGAAAGAAGCTCTCATATGTTTGCTTGTTTTAACTGTTCCATGAAATGTTTTATTTTTTCAAATGTAAATAAAACAAAAATTTGTTTAACATATGATTGAATAAAAAAAAAACAGTAACTCTGCTGTTCTGTCCCTTTGATTCCTTTAATTTAAATATTTACCATGAAAAGCCATTAACAATGAAATAAAAATGAATGCTAAGACATGTAAAAGACTTCTTCAGCAAGTGAGATACACTACACAGAAACTATGACAGGCTGGAAAAATGAGAGCGGCAACAGAATTGAAACAGAATATCAGTCACCATTAACTGTTCAACATTAATGATGTTAATGACTTCAACAGATGTTAATTCAAACACCATGTAAGTGTTCTGCAATAATGATATAATTGAAAAGTCCAGTGAGACATTAGCTCATTATACAAAGTACATCAGATAACTAATGTGCAGCTTCCCAAATAATGCAAAAAAAAAAAAAAAGAGAGAGAGAAAGAAAAATACTGAAAAGAAAAATACTTTTTTGAATTTACACTTATAAAAATTAAAAAAAATTGCACTTTGATAGCTGGTACACAATATCAGTTTAATAATTGGCTAAAATTAAAATACTGCTAATAAAAAAGCACTGCCATAACATCCGGGTTAACATCAAATTAATAAAAATAATAAATAAGGCTGTCAAAGTTACATTAAAAATTCCTGGTTTATGTCCTTTGTGTTGCTCATGCAGTTGAAATTTCTGTGAAAGATAAGTCTTCCTTGACAGATTTTTCAAGGTTAAAAGTTCTTTACTTACACAAGCTGATGAGGAGCACAGCTTCATGCCTGTTAGTTCAACTTCCTTCTGTCTTTGAAAAATGCCCAGAATCACCACTGAATGAATACCCATAACTATCAGTTATGTAACGTAGCCATCCAGTCTCTTTGGCAATGGCATTACTATCTGTAGACATCCCCAACTTTCTAAGACACATCAGATGATTACACATGAGGCATCTGATTAAACTACATAAGTAAATCATAGCTGTAAATAAGGTTATACCACTTGAACCACTTGTTAAGAAACATCCTACCATATAACCCCCATTTGTGCAGCATAGCATGGCTCAATCAGGCACTACTGAGGTGGTTTTTTTAAGCCTGGGTTGCTTTGATGGCAGCATTCAGCTCCTTTTTTGGGGTGTATATTTTTCCCGTTCTTCCTGACAATACCCCATAGATCCTGTGAGGCCAGTTAGGCCAGGTCAGGCCAGTTATCTATCAAATCAAGCAGTAATAACATGGTCAGCATGTTATGTTATTAGATGTTTAGTACTGTGGGCAGGTGCTGCTCGAAAAGGAAAACTGGATCTCCATAATGCTTGTTAGCAGATCAAAGAATGAAATGTTCTTCCGGCTGAGACCAGCTACAACATCAGAAGACGACATAGCATGCTGAACACCTTGGTTATCGGGCCTCTCTACTCTTCCTCCAGACTCTAGGACCTTGATTTCCAAATAAAATGCCAAATTTACCTTCATCTGAAAAGAAGACTGTGACATTGAGCAAAGGTCTATTTAGTACCCAGATAAGCTCCTCGATATTATGAACACAAATACTCAAAATTCCCAACACATTAATTGCATATATTTCTCGTGTTTTCACTTTCTACAAGATATAACACAATAAAATACACCAGACACCACAGATTTAAAAATGTTTTGTTGCACAGTGATAGTAACAGACATACCTTGTGTTCCTGGTTTTCAGGTGACTGCACAGGCGACATGTGTCACTCTGTCAGCAATGAGTGTCGACTGCTGCTACGTGACTTTGTACCCTCTGCAATCTCTGAGACATCGGACGCCTCGGAGGGCTCTGGCCATCTCCCTGTCTATCTGAATAGGTATCATACAAACATACCATGCACACATGTGCACCCACATCACAAATAGGACTCTAGTTATTTAATCCATGAATTTAATGGACAATTAATTATCCAATAATTGATGTGTGCTTGTTTTTCTGTCTATAAACACCATTCTCAAAAAGTTTTTAATTAATTATGATAAAACTTTGTCAAAAAGTTTTATAATTTAGGACCCCAAAACATCTTATAGGATAGAAAAGAATGAAAATATACTACGGGAAAGAGATGACCTATTATCCATTATCTTCTCCTATATAAGGTTTGTGTAATCAAAACAAACATCTGCTACAATTATAGGATTTTACTTGGATTACAAACATCTTAAAGTACATTTCAAAGAACAAATACAACTAAATTAATATACACAAAATGCAGTACTGTTCCCTCAAAGGTAAATCCTGTCCAGAGAGTGTGCTGCCGTCGCAAAGGTTTGCACTTCTCTGAGTGCTTCTTGTTATTTTTTATTTGCCACAGTATAAGAAGGGAAACTACATGCCATGTCCCCTGTCCTCCAGGCTCCTTGATTCTGTCCATCCCTGTCGCTGGAGGTGGGATACTGCTTGTTCGGTCCTCAGACATACTGCAATGATGTTTTTCCCTCTGCCCATCTCCAGAGAGCTTTCACCATCTACAGCTTTCTAGCTGTCTACCTCTTACCCCTGCTTACCATCACTGTGTGTTATGCCATCATGCTCAAGCGGATGGGCCAGCCCAGCATGAATCCCATTGGCAGTGGCTACCAAGTAGGAAATTATTTATTTTTCACATATTAAATCCACAGAGAATTTCAAATATTCCTTTTAATTACAAAGACCTGGCATTTTCAGGGTGTCACTAGGTGAGTATACAGTCTTAGTGTAGCTCTTAAAGGTGTGACAGTGAACAAAAGTACTGTGATGACAGAAAATGATGCTGTCGCTTTAAAAACAGCGACAGCGTTCGATTATCTTCATCTGCCACAGGTTTCTTCCTGTTAAGACGGAGTTTTTCCTTCCAATAGTCCAACATTATTGTAGGTTCTTTACAATATTAAGCACCTTGAGCTGACTGGTGTTGTGATTTGAATTGAAAAACTTGAAAATCGAGTGCGCCTTAATTTTGCATTCACAGCTGAAGATTTGGGGTCACTGCATGTCTTGCTCCAACTCTTCTGTAAACCCGTTTGTGTATGCTTTCACGGGCAACAACTTTAGAAAGGCTTTCAAGCATGCCTTCCCTGCCATTTTGCTGTGGCGCTCAAGAGGGAGAGTCAGAGTGGGAAACACAGACGCAGAGGCACCCAAAGGAGAAGCAGAGATGCACTTTCTTTCATCTGGCCCCTAAAGGCCATGCTGAGCATTTGGACACGGTGCACTCATTGTTTATTTATACTTTCTCCTGAGATGAGAGCAGTCTGATCACTGTAGTGTATGTTTGCTTGGACATCCACACACCCACACACACACCCACACACACACTGAAACATTGTATAATTCCATGTGATCTCTAAAAAGGGACAAACCGGTCAAGTGAGTCTCGTGTGTTTCACGAGCTGCTGAAATACAATTATCTCTGTCACGCTTTTCTAAGTTACGGTTAAATTAATGCTGTCAGCCTGACTGCTAGAGCTTCTGGTTTTACCTTTGTTACAACTTCGTAGAAAAAAACCCAAACTGTGCCAACAGCAACTGCAATGGACTATTTCCATTTGATAGAAAATTGTCTTGCTGAATCTTTGGTAACACAACACTCTGTGCAATACTGTGCAGTAAACACTCAAACTGACTCAATTTAGTCTGTTGTGCTTACATTTTCAAACGTTTGTTTCATCTCATCTTTTTTAAAAATGTTCATGTTCACACTTCCACCTTTGACTGTGGGAAATGTTGTTATTTTGAGGACAAATATATAACAAATACATATCAGTCTGCGTTTGAGTTTGGTGAGGATTAAGAAGAGATGAAAGTTTAGATTCAAATAGTGAAAACCGTGTCTTTTTTGTCAATTGTGTGTGACAAGGTGGTACAGTGTGCAGCTACTGGTGAGAGTGACTTCAGACGAAGGGCAGTTACGTCTTTACGTCCATCCTTACAGAGAGCAGATGTGTAAAAGACACTGTGGGATGTTCATTTTCTCTATCATTGCAGATATTAGACAGAATCAAATCTGAAGGAAAACACAATATGTTGCGTTTGTTTGCTCGGATATATTATATTTTGATTTTTTCCCCACAATGCTACCCTATGTAGTCTCTTTTGATGTTGACTTTTTGAGGAAGCAGCTGTGAGCGCATGCGACTTGTCTCCATTAAACCCCGTTAATATTCTGCTCTTCAGATGTTTTGCTGTTGTGGGGGGAAATAATCTGTTCAGTGGTATTTATAAGTGGAAAGTGTGTTTTTCTCCTTCTATAGTGTGCAGTTAGACACAATACATCAAAATAGGAAACAAATAGAACGCTGAAACATAGTTCTATGAAAAGTAATCAGAAGCTATCAGGATAATAAGAAAACATTTGATCAAAATGTGTCTAAATGTTGAAACTCTTTCTTTCTTATCCAGGCACAGACACAATATGAGAGGTTCCATATAAGCTCTATGGGATGTTGTTATTCCTCCTCTTCTCAATGCCATAACTTTGCAGAATCAATTCATGCTGGCAAGCAATATTCCAAATTCCTGCAGCATTGATTAATTGATCATTGAATAAACAGGATACTGTGAAAGAGCAACCAGTGCTCTTCCTGCTATACGTGTAAAGTGCTTTCAAATTACTTGAGACTTGAAGTTTTGCTCGCTCACATTTTCGGTGGCGTGACGGTGCACTCAGCCAGTCACGTGACAACGGGTCCTAGTTTGGGTCCTGGTGGTGCCTTCAAGTGCTGCCAAGTAAGTAAGTAACTTAGTTGGCGTGAACTGGTCAAAAAAAATGGCAAGTGTAAGATCAATGTATAGTTTATTATATATGTGAAATAATTGAAATGGGAAAAAAAATAATTTGATCTCAGTTAAGAAGTTTCTGCATGATCTAATTTAATAAATAATTTAAGTTAAATATTTTACAATGTTGTAAATCTTTTAAAATCAAGTTGTTACGGTACTTAAGATCAAAGGGAAAACAGTCTGGGAAAATTTCACAGTAGTTATTTCACAATAGTTTAAATATAATAACACTAACCCCGAGTACTCTTACTCTAATATCGACTTAAGGGAACATTTGAGTACAAGGTGCTTTGAGAACAATGTTTAATTATGCTTTCAATTTAAAACAGGAGCCACAGAGGTTTTTTTTATATATAAAACAATTGTTTAATATTTGAATCAGAGCTTATCCACTCGGACAGCCTAAAAGGTTAATCTAAAACTTTTTGAGGATTTGAGGATGCATCATGCATTAATACTCCCTTACTTGGTCAACTATGCATTGTAACCTAGATCGCATGACTCTATTTTGTCAATTGAGGCTACAAATTTACGAGGCGTTCCCAAACGCAACATGCTATATACATAACTGGCATCCAAGCCAACCAGTGCTCGAGGAGGAGAGCAAAGACACGGCCGAAGCTGAGGCTTTCACAGCGCTGAATCTGGTAGAGACAGCAGGCAGGGACAGCATCCACCAGCCGGAGTTTCGAGCTCGCTTTACACCATGGAACACAAACAAACCATCAACTTTGGAGCCGGACCTGCAAAACTTCCCCCCTCTGTAAGTTGGTATCCCTCTCTTGCTTGTGTAACGTTAATAATGTGCAGAAAAAAAGCGAGCTAATTGCAAACTGGTTTAAAGCAAATTGCCACTTTATAATTTGTTTAACCGCAGGCGGGTCGCGGACGCGATGGCCTAATTTTCCTTTCATTTTCGTAAAGAGAGACACTGTATGATGAAAAGGACTTTGGTTTAATGCCATTGTCAGCTTGGCATTTGTCAACAGTGTGTTGAGTTGCATCAGCCTCATTCATTCATGTGGAAACCTGCTCCTTTGTGGTTCACTGGCAGCGGCAGAGAGAACCTCTAGATGGCAGAAGAAACACGCTTAGATGAGAACAAATCACAGCTCCCAGATAACACTGACGCCTCCCGCGAGGTCTTTTTGGTTGACTGCAGACTTAATGTACTCTGAGTGGTTTGTACTGCTGCCTGCGGGGCTTTGTAGAGCCCAATAAACCCAATGAACTGTAAGGATTTAGTCACGAGGCGTTTAAATGGTCAAAACAAAATAAAAAATTGTGAAACGGAAAGAGACTGACAAGTAAACTCACCGGTGTACAGTTGCAATGCTGATTATCGACTGTTTTAGTGCTTAGGCAAGTTTGTTTTTTGCTATTTTGCAGCCCACCAAGATTTTGGCTTTCCAACATTTTTTCAAAATGTGGTTTAATTTACTCATGCTTAAAAACACTGGAGTTTATCAAATGGCCAGAAACAGCATATATACAAAACACATGTACAAACTTCTCTTAGCAGTGACTCTGCATTAGTCATTTACTAAAAGTCCTTTTTCTAGACTAGAAAAACCTTAATGTGATAGCAAAGTTTACGTTTAGGAGCATCAGTTGGTCATTGTATGATTTTTTTTTTTTTTTTAGGTCAAATAAGATTTGTGGAGCTAAAATGTGTATTAATTAGTTATTAATAGCAGTCCTATTTATAAGATAGTGATCAGAGGTGCAACACATTTTTAATTTTAATTTACAAACCAACATGTTGGTTAGTAACAAAGACCAAACACATCTTTGTGGTTTCATTAACAGCTGTTTTCTTGTTGCAGTCCAAACTTTATTTTTAGTGCAATGAAAAAAAAACGTGTTCAGCTGCCATCATAGTTTCTGAAGAGATATCCAAAAGTTGATTCTGTTCATCTGGACGTAGTGTTTTGTGGGAGAAACGTTTCGTCACTCATCCAAGCGACTTCTTCAGTCTTAGCTGACTGCAGGTTTCCCCAAATCTTATAAAGATTATGCTTTATAAGATTTATACTAAAATCTTACTAAGATCTTAGTATAATCTTACTAAGATCTTAGTAAGATTATACTAAGATTAAGGAACTGACCTCCCAGCCCATTGTTCCTCAGTGGGCTGGTTTCAGTCATTATGCAAATGTACTGTTTGGGGAAGTTTGGGGAGAATGAAGAAGTCACTTGGATGAGTGACGAAACGTTTCTCCCACACAACGCTACGTCCAGATGAACAGTATCAACTTTTGGAGATCTACTTTCCTGGATGATTGAGAATGCATCAAGACGTTTTGAAGAGATACTTACACGATGTGTTGCAGGTGCTGCTTCAAGCTCAGAATGAGCTCCTAAACTACAGCGGCACTGGCATCAGTGTCCTCGGTGAGTAGAAAAACAGATCAGTACACAAACATGTTAATGTATTGTCTCTAGATTTTTCAGTAAAGGATGACTCTGTTGAGATGGATCCTTTGTGACCTCTTGTTAATTGTGGCCTGTAGCTGAAATTTCATACAGAGTGTGTGTTTACTGTACTGTGTCCAGATTAATAAACCTTGAGAGATTTCCATACGTCCAGATATTTCATAGCTGATCACTGCTTCCTCAGTCTCTGGAATCTGTGAAATATTAAACATCACAAATATCACATTTTCATCAAAGGTGTGTGTACGTCATATACAGTGAAATAAAATCCCCCAAAATGTTCTTTTTGTACTAGAGATGAGTCACCGATCATCAGACTTCAATAAAATTATCAATAAAACAGAGAGCCTCCTGCGAGAGCTGTTGTAAGTAACTTTTGTTGCTCTGTTGTGTTTCTTCAGATATGCTGCACTATAATCACGTCTCCTAACAAAGGTGTTCATTTTTTTTCTTGTAGTTTCAGCTGACAGTACATAACGTGTTGTAATCATAGTCAGACTTCTTTTAATGCATAAACACTCGTACCCTTTTTTCCTCTTTTGTACAACAGCGCTAATGACAGGCAAACCGGTCAAACGAGATGGTTGTGCACCTTTTCTTCGAAGTTATTCTTAGACAGTCACATTGCTGTCAATCCGATGGAGACAGAGATGTACAAGAGATAGCTGCATATTTTACCTATCACATTTAAACCACACTAGTGTCTCAGCTGAGTAAAGAGATGCTTTTTGCTTTCAAACTGTACCTTTGCTTGGTTTAAGAATCAGACTTCCTGTAAGTTTACATCTGCACGTGATTATGTCTGGATTGCCTTTAACACACACTGGTATTTTTATTTCTCAGAAATATTCCAGACAACTACAAGGTGCTGTTCCTGCAGGGTGGTGGGTCTGGACAGTTCAGCAGTGTTCCTCTCAACCTGATTGGTCTTAAGGAGGATAGGTGTGCCGATTACCTGGTGACGGGCACGTGGTCGGCCAAAGCAGCAA